CTCTTCCTGTCCCAACAGCACCCTCTCTGTCACTGAAATAAACCCCAGCTCACGATTAGTGGGTTAGGCTATAACCGGCCAATGTTATTCCACAGTCTTGATTTATTACACCAGCAAGTTCCAGATACATTACATATGACATCCGAGCTCTTAAATCCTAGAGCAGAGATCAGCCAACTATAGCCTATGGGGCAAACTCGGCCCATCGCCTGTTTTTGTAAATAAAGCTTTATTGGCACAGACACACGCCTTCATTTACATATCATCCATGGCTGTTTTCCAGTTACAAACAGAGAGCTGAGTCGTTGTGACAGAGGCCATCTGGTCTGCAAAGCTGAAAAGATTAGCTATCTGACCCTTTACAGAAAAAGTTTGCTGACCTCTGTCCTAAAAAGTAAAGAGGGAAAAAGTCAAAAAGGTATCTTTGCCCAAGACATCTTAGTCACAAAGAAGCTTTAAGCAATTCCAAATAAAAAGAAAACTCCTCTGGAATCTTCCCTAGAGATAAAGTAGAATGTAGGAGAGAGCATGGTGCCCATTATTACAGCTGTTTTCTAGGGGCGCCTCGGTGGCTCAGTCGGTTAAGCACCCGGCTTTGGCTCAGATCATGATCTCATGGTCTGTGAGTTTGAGCCCCACATCAGGCTCTATGCTCACAGCTCGGAGCCTGGAACCTGCTTTGGATTCTGTGTCTCCCTCTCTCTCTGCACCTCCCCCACTTGCACTCTCTCTTTCTCTCTCTCTCAAAAATAAATACACATTTAAAAAATTTTAAGAGACAAAAAAAAAACAAAAAAAATAATTAAAAAAATAAAATAAGAACTGTTTTCTAGGGAAATAAAGAGAACTATACGAGGGCTGCTTGGCTTTAGAATCGCACTGTCTAGTGTGGTAGCCACGATCCACCCGTGGCAAATTGAAAGGTAAAGAAATTAAAATTGAGTCGAATTAAAAATTCAGTTCCTCAGTCCCTCTGGCCATGTTACAGCGGCTTAGTAGCCATGTGTGGTGGCTGGCCATGGTATTGGACGACGCAGATGAGCACACTTCCAACATTGCTGAAGGCTTTAGTGTTGTCTTTGAGATTTGATCTCCCTGAAAGAAACTAAGTTAAGACCTGGCCAACACGTCTGAGAAGCTTTCTTTATTATGTGCTAGGTTTTATCTGTACAGTCCAGCTTGCATTTTCTTTTCTTTTTTTTTAAATATTTTTATTTATTTCTAGGAGAGAGAGAGAGACAGGCTCCAGGCTCTGAGCTGGCAGTCAGCACAGAGCCCGACGCGGGGCTTGAACCCACGAACCACGAGATCATGACCTTAGCGAAAGTCGGAAGCTTAACCGACTAAGCCACCCAGGCGCCCCCGGCTTGCATTTTCAGTCTTTTGCTTTATACCTTTCTTTCTGTGTTGGCTCTGCTGTTTTTTCCTTCTCCCAGCTTTATTGAAATATTTTTTGCCACTCAGCATTGTGTAAGTTTCAGACGTATAGGGTTAATGACTTGACTTACATGTATTGTAAAATGATGACCCTAGTAAGGTTAAGTAGTATCCATCATCTTATATAGATACAAAAAAAGAAAAAGAAAAAATGTTTTTTTTTATTTATCCTTGGGATGAGAGCTTGTATTCTCTTAGCAACTTTCTTTTTTTTAATTTTTTCAATTAAAAACATCTTGTTAACTTTTTTTTTAATGTTTATTATTTTTGAGAGAGAGAGAGAGAGAGCAGGCAGGGGAGGGACAGAGAGAGAGGGAGACACAGAATCTGAAACAGGCTCCAGGCTCTGAGCTGTCAGCACAGAGCCCAATGGGGAGCTCAAACCCAGGAACCATGAGGTCATGACCTGAGCTGAAGTCGGCCGCTCAACCGACTGAGCCACCCAGGCGTCCCTCTTAGCAACTTCCAAATACACATGCAGCCGTGTTAAGTATGGTCCTCGGGTTGTGCATTGCATCCCTACTACCTGTTTACCTTATAACTGAAGGCTCGTGCCCTTCGAATCCCTCTGCTTCAATTATTGTTGCTTAAAATGCACCCTAGTGTTCAGAGGCCTCTACTTTCCTTCTTCATACCTTCCCCGCCCCCCCACCAATCTTCCAATTTCATTTTTCCAAATGAGCGTGCCGATGGATCGTTTTGTGGCATTTCAAAAACCAAAAAAAAAAAAAAAGAAGGAAAAGGAAAGAAAAACGTTTTTTTTTCCTGAAGAAAAATGGGCGATGGGTTGAAACAGAACCCCGGAGGAATTTGATTTTGCAACCCCAGGTGCAAGCGGTGAAAAGCGCAACGCAGCTTCTGGGCGGCATGGGGGACCGGATGATGATCCCTGAGCTTTCCCCAGGCCCAGCCGGCCCGGGGACGGTGCTCGCCCTTCCAGAAGGACTCCTAGGCCGCCGGGCCACTACCCACTTCAGGCTTCCCTCCCAAACCAAGCCTCTGTCCTCTGCACCCCCCCGCCCCGTGATCCCGGCATCATTCTGCTTCAGCAGCGCTGCCCAGGGGTCTTCCGTGGAGATCAGGGCTGCCCCAGGGGCTCCTGGGAGAGGCATCTCTCCGGTAAATAAGTCATTAGACAGCATGAGTAGCAGGAGACATCTCCCCGTGGTACTTCCTTCAGAGGCTCTGGCCCTCCTGGGCCACCAGCCGCTCCAGCGTCCCCAGAGAGTGGCTCCTGGTGGCTCCTGACCTCTGCCATTCAAGTGCTTCCTGTTCGCGCGCTGGTCCCTCAGGCAGCAGCATTTTGAACCCTCTGCCTCTTTTGTAAGATCAGTGTTTTGTGGTTGGCCGGCTTCTCCGACTTCTCTCCCTGCTCCAAGGCTGATGCTGCAGGAAAGGCCCCTGGAGACAGTGGGCTCCTGTCCAGCCTCCCTCCGTCACAGACCCCGTGTATCCAGGTTTCCTGGGTGTACACGCCTGGAATATTCTGGTACAACTCAGTGAAGAGGGGAGGTGTGATTGCTTCCATTTTATGATGAGGAAACTCAAGACTTTAGGCTCGAGGTCCTGGGCCTCCTCTGGCCTAATTCTCTAGCATTCCAGTTTTCACCTTCTGTTGGGACAGAAAGAGGGGCTTCTAGGGTTCTTAGCATTAAGACCAAAGTCGTAGGGCCGCACCACCCCCTGCAAAATCTTGCCCGCGGGGATGGCCTTATGTTTCACCACTGTCCCCTTTTTGTTAGTATTTCAGGTACCTCCTCCACCTCAGCTTTTCTTCTCTGGCTCTTTACCACACTTCCTGCCACAGTGCCTTTGCACATGCTGTTCCCGCTCTTTGCAAGGTGCTCTGCCCAGCGCACTCTTTCTCGTGTCTTACTCTGCAGCTCAATCCTTAATTCTAAGCAAAGACGGAATCCACCCTGCACTTTTGAGACCCATCTGCCCCGAGGACCACATCATAGCATGAGATTTGGGCAGGGCCAACAGAGGCCTTAGCTCTTGTCACAGATTTATTTCTGGGGCAAGCCAGGGCCTACCTATAAGAAGCTGTGGTTTTCTCTCCCTCTGTCTGTCTCTTTTAAGGACCCCTGGAATCGCATTTGGGGCCCCAGTAATCCAGAATAATCTCCCCGGCTCAAAACTCCTTGACTTGGGGCACCTGGGTGGCTCAGTCGGTTAGGCCTCCGACTTCAGCTCAGGTCATGATCTCACGGTTCGTGGGTTCAAGCCCCGCATTGGGCTCTGTGCTGACAGCTATCTCAGAGCCTGGAGCCTGCTTCAGATTCTGTGTCTCCCTCTCTCTCTGTTCACACTGTCTCTCTCTCTCTCAGAAATAATTAAAAATAAAAAATAAAAAAAAAACTCCTTGACTTACTCACATTGCAAAGACTTTTGTGTTCATCATGGTTCTCCAGAGAAATGCAACCAACAGGATCTAGCGAGATGTCATAAGAAGGGGATTCATTAGAGGGATGGGCTCGCACTGTTATGGGGCCCAAGAAGAAACTGGCGAACCAGGAAAGCAGGCGGCATAACTCAGTTGCAGGCCCGAGGCCTGAGAACCAGGGGGCTGAGGATTCCAAGTCCTGATCTGGGTCCAAAGGCCTCAGGGCAGGAGAAGAAGATGTCTCAGCCTTTCCTCTTTCTTTCTTTTTTTTTTTTTTTGTTTTGGTCCCTCGTGGATGGGATGATGCCCTCCTGCATTGGGAAGGGCTGTCTGCTTCACCAGTTCAGTCTTTCCAGAGACCCCATCCCACATGCATGCAGAGATCATCTTTGGCCACGGCTATCCGGGTACCTCTGGGCCCCACCCAACTGACTCCTGAAATTAACAGCCCTTTTCCATAGGAGGTACATTCACAGGGTCTAGGAATTAGGGTTGGATATCTTTGGGGGCTATTATTTAGCTTCTACAGAGGGCTTTCTTTTTTTTTTTATGTCTATTTTTCAATTTTGAGAGAGAGAGAAAGAGTGTGTGAGCAGGGGAGGGGCAGAGAGAGAGGGAGAGAGAATCCCAAGCAGGCTCCGTGCTGTCAGCGCAGAGCCTGACCCGGGGCTTGATCCCACAAACCGTGAGATGATGACCTGAGCCGAAATCAAGAGTTGGATGCTTAACCGACTGAGCCGCCCAGGCACCCCTCCCCCCCCACCCCCCCACCCCCGAGGGTTTTCTAGGGAAGATTCCATGGTGCTTGATACAGGATCAAATTCAGGGTTTACCTGCCAGATGCTGCACACTCGCAGGTGCCTTTGTATGCAGGGGATCTAAGGCTCAATGGACTTATCGCTGTGGTGCCACAGCCAGGCCGTCTTGGGGGAGGCTCAGTGTGTCTCACCCAGGGTCCCAGAGCCAAGTGCCCAAGCTGAGACTGGAACCTGAGCCCCCCTCTCTGCCAGGCCCTCCTAGGTGACCAGTACGGGCCCTGTCCTGTCCCCACGCTCATCGAGGAGAAGGAGTGGGAGGCTCTGAGAGCCCAGCTGACCTCCAAGCCGCGTGACCTGGAGTTGGTGGCTCGACGCTTCCGGAGGGACGAGAACGCCGTGCCTCCTGCCTACCTGCTGCAGTCCCTGGGCACCTCAGAGACCCCTGGGCCCGAAGAGGCCACCCTGACCTCAGTGCTGCACTCGGGAGCCCAGGAGGCCCGGAGGCTGGGCCTCATCACCCAGGAGCAGTGGCGTCGCTATCACTGGTCAGGTGAGGCCGCCAGGACTCCCCCTCGGGGTCCACAGGAAATGCCCCACGTTCAAGTGCACGCACCACACACCGTCCCAACCCCACAGCCTGCACCGCTGTAAATTTCTGGAAGAGGTTATTTTACTGGTCCGAGAGTTCAGCCACGGCCTGGTTAGTTCTCTGTCTCTTAGGCCCCTCCCCTCCTCTCCTCCTCTGGCTCCCTTTCTGGGGGAGGCTCCTGGCTCTGGGGGACGGCTTCTAAGGTGACTGCTGATCTGGTCTGTCTGGGACTTTCAGGGCTAAACCCCGACAGTCCTGGAAAATCTGGAACAGTGGGTCACCTTACGTTAGCCCCAGAGCCATCCCCTGCTGGGGAGACTGAGTCCTCCAGCCTCCCACACCTGCCCCAGAGCTGGAAACTGAGGCACAGGAAGGTGGGGGGTAGGGATTTGACCTGAGTCGATCACCCTGCTCCCAGTTGGCCCTTCCCTGCGCACTTGGAGCCGCCCCCTTTGGCCCTTCTATCCTCCGCGCTGGCGACCAGGAAGTTTTGTAAAAACGTAATGTCGTCAAGCCATTTCCCTACTGTTTGCTGCCGGCAAGAAACAGAGTCTTGTTATCATCTGCGGGTTAGTAATATGTCAGATATGTCCATTTACAGTACCACGGCTAGTAAGTATGTCAATTTCTCGTACTAAAAATATTAAAAGCATGAACCCATGTTATCCACATTAAATATATGGATTCAGGGGCGCCCGGGCAGCTCAGTCGGTTAAGCCTCCAACTTTGGCTCAGGTCATGATCTCACAGTTCATGGGTTCAAGCCCCGCACCAGGCTCTGTGCTGACAGGTCAGAGCCTGGAGCCTGCTTCGGATTCTGTGTCTCCCTCTCTCTCTGCCCCTCCCCTGCTCATACTCTGTCACTCTCTCTCTCTCTCAAAAATAAATAAAACATTAAAAAATTTAAAGTATGAATTTATGAACATTTTAAATATATTGATTTGTTTAAACATATTGAATATAGTAATTTATGTTAACAGTATTTTAATTTTACTAAAATATTGATTATTATATATTATATTAATTCTAGTAATGACATGTCAGTTTTTAAAAATAAACTTGTTTTTAAGTTTATTTATTTATTTTGAAAGAGAGAGAGAGAGGATGAGTCGGGTAGGGGCAGAGAGAGGGTGGGGGAGAGAGAGAATCCCAAAGAGGCTCCATGCTCTCAGTGCAGAGCCCCATGCAGGGCTCGAACCCACAAGCTAAGATCATGACCTGAGCTGAGATTAAGAGTCAGACACTTAACCAACTGAGATACCCAGGCACCCCTTAAAAATAAACTTTTAATATGGGTGTCATTTTAGATTTTGCAGAGAAATTACAGTGTTATAAAGCTACAAAGATAGTACAGTCTCTATCTTCTCCACCCAGAAAAGCTAACGTCTTATGTGACCATAGTACATTTGCGGGAACTAAGAAGTTAACATCAGTACATGACGATTAACTAGATTAATGTTTTTCTGTCCCAGGATCCCATCCAGGGACACGTGACATGTGTCAGGTTACTCTGGGCTGTGACAGGTTCTTAGCTTTTCCTTGGTTTTCATGACTTTGGCCACTGTGAGGCATGCTGGCCATGTCTTCTGCAGAACGCCCCTCAGTCTGGGCTTGTCTGGGGTTTCCTTGTGGTTAGAGGAGGGCTGTATGTTTCTGGAAGGAAGACCACAGAGGTGAGGTTTCTTCCCCCATCCCATCATATCAGGGGTACTTGATGCCCACCTGACATATCAGGTGATGCTAACCTGATACTTTAATTAAGATTAGGAATGACGTATCAGTTTTGAATACACCATTTATGTGAATAATAATGTCAATGGCTACTGTTTATTGAGCACTTACTATGTTGCTATTGTTTGCTCTATGACGTGAAGCCAGTTGTGCTAATTGCTTTCATTGAGATATTTTTTTGTTTACTTATTTATTTTTTTAATGTTTATTTATTTTTGAGAGAGACAGAGACAGAGACAGAGAGGAAGACACAGAGTCCGAAGCAGGCTCCAGCCTCCGAGCTGTCAGCACAGAGCCCGATGAGGGGCTCAAAGCCACAAACTGTGAGATCATGACCTGAGCTGAAGTCGGACGCTTAACCGACTGAGCCACCCAGGTCTCCCTAAGTTTATTTATTTATTTGGAGAGAGACAGAGGGGGAGGGACAGAGAGAGAGAGAGAGAGAGAGAGAGAGAGAATCCCAAGCAGGCTCCGCGCTATCAGCACGGAGCCTGACACAGGGTTTGATCATACAAACTATGAGATCATGACCTGAGCTGAAATCACGAGTTGGATTCTCAACCAACTGAGCCACCCAGGTGCCCCCCCACAACTACCCTTTTAGAATCACACTCACCCCTCCCCTCAAACCCCAGCCCTAGCAACCACTAATCTGCGTCCATCTCTGTAACTTGTTATTTCAACAGTGTTAGAGGATGGGATCAAACAATCTACAACCTTTTGAGACTGGCTTTGTTGCTTTAGCTTAAGGTGCTCAGCTTTTCAATTATTGTACAGAAAACCCTGACAACAGCCTCGACAAGGGTAAACTAGTACATCCATGTGACAGGAGAAATGCAGTGATTTGACCAAGGTCACACAGCCCACAGGTGGTAGACCAGAAGGTCTGGGATCGATTCCTGCTGAAATGTGCCCCAGAAGGATCCCATTTCAGCCCTGGTAGTTGCCTTTACCCCTGACCTCCATTCACAGGGCTGAGGGGTGGGGGGACTTTTGAGTGGCTCTTATCTCTGGCTCTGAGACTGAGCCCTGTCTCCAAGGGCCTGACTCACTCAGCTGCAGAGACCTGGGAGCCTCTGCTGAGCCCAAAGCGGCTTAAAAAATAACTCCTCAGGTCTGATTGCAGTTTCAAAACAATGGCCTCCAAGGAGAAATCAGTGTCTGCTCTTGGCTCTGGAAAATACGGGTCCTCAGGGCAGCTGCCACAAGCTCTGGGACAGGGGTCAGCAAACCATGGCCCAGAGGCTAAATTTGGCCCACCATTTGTTTTTGTAAATAAAGTTTTATTGGAACACACTCAACACATTAGTTTCTGCATATTGTCTACGGCTGTTTTTTTAATGTTTTATTTATTTCTGAGAGAGAGAGAGAGACAACGTGAGCGAGGGAGGGTCAGAGAGAGAGGGAGATACAGAATCTGAAGCAGGATCCAGGCTCTGAGCTAGCTGTAAGCACAGAGCCCAATGTGGGGCTTGAACCCACAAACTGCGAGATCATGACCTGAGTCGAAGTCGGAAGCTTAACCTACTGAGCCACCCGGGCGCCCCCGTCTATGGCTGTTTTCACGTGACAACAGCAGAGTTGAATACTTGTGCCAGAGACCACCCGCCCTATGAAGCCTAAAATATTTACTATCTGACCCTTTACAAGAAAACACGCTGACCTTTGCTCTCAGCTTCCCGGCTCATTAAAAACTTCTGGGGCCACCTGGTTGGCTCAGTTGGTTGGGCGTCCGACTTCGGCTCAGGTTATGATCTCACGGTTTGTTGTGGGTTCGAGCCCCACCATCGGGCTCTGTGCTGACAGCTCAGAGACTGTTTCAGATTCTGTGTCTCCTCACTCTCTCCCCTTCCCCTGCTCGTGCTCTCTCTCTGTCTCAAAAATAAATAAACATTAAAAAAAAAAAGTCTTCCCTGGCCTCCATGCCTTTGCAGCAGTTTTCTGCAGCCTCAAATGCTCTGCCCTCTCTGTCCAGGATAGACAGATAGTCTCATTTGTCAGTCTGTCCGTTTATGTGCCCCACTTTTCACTAAGACTGGAATACCACTCCACAAAGGCAACAGGGAACTTTGTGAATTTTCCTCACTGCTAGACGCCCCAGAATGGAGAGCAGAGACTGGCACTAGCAGGAGCTCAATAAGCGTTTGTTGAATGAATGTTTGATGGAGGCACCGGCAACTGACAACATTGGATTCTGAAGTGAAATTCACATAGCACGAAATTAACCATGTTAAAACAATTCAGTGACCTTCAGTGCATTCATAATGTTGTGCAAGCACCACCTCTACCTAGTTCCAGAACATTTCCATCCCCCCCAAAGAAACTCCGTACTCATTAATGCTCACTCCCCAATCCCGGCCACCACCAGACCACCTTCTGTCTCTAGGATTTGCCTGTTCTGGACGTTTCATAGGTGGTCTCTTGTGTCCGGCTTCTTTCACTCAGCACGATGTCTTCAAGGTTCATCCATGTTGTACTTGAATCAGTGCTTCATTCCTTTTCATGGCCGATTGATCGTCAATTATATGGATCGATCACATTTTGCTTATCCACTCATCATTTGAGGGGCCCTTGGGTTGTTTCCACCTTTCAGCTCCTGTGAATAATATTGCTGTGAACATGGGTGTGCATGTGCCTATTTGTCTATGTTTTCAGCTCTTTTTGGGTCCCTACGTAGGAGTGCAATTCCTGTAGAAATTCCATATCTAACTTTTTGAGTTTGATGGTGTTGTTTTATAATGGGGCCACTTGTCACATATGATGTCTGTGTTGCCTACGCCAAGGTTTCTTTGATTAATAATGACGAAATCAGGGGCACCCGGGCGGCTCAGTGGGTCAAGCTTCCGACTTCAGCTCAGGTCATGATCTCGTGGTTTGTGAGTTCAAGCCCCACGACGAGCTCCGTGCTGACAGCTCAGAGCCTAGAGCCTGCTTTGAGATTCTGTGTCTCCCTCTGTCTGCCTCTCCCCGCCCCTCTCTCTCTCTCTCAGAAATAAATAAACAAAAAAATGACTCAGTCAGTAGTATTCTTGGTGTTGGCCCTGGACGAGCAGTCTTAGCATCACCTGGGAGGTTTTTGGAAATGTAAACCCCTGGGCCCCACCCAGACCTGGTGAATCGGAACTTCTGGAAGCAGAGCCCAGCCACGGGGGTTTTCTGAACCCCCAGGAGACTCTGGCAAACTATAGTCCTCCCACCAAATTCGGCCCACTGCTTGTTTTTGTAAATAAAGTTTTATTGGAACACATTTGAGTGCATTAGTAACCATATTATCAACGGTTACGCCAGGTGACTCCAGCACACATTAAGTGTGAGAATCAATATCCCCCCCACCCCCCGAATGTGTCTCTCAAGTATCTCCACTCGGGCTAGCTGATCATACACACTTTCTTCCCATCTCCCCCACTTTTTCAGTCATTGAGTGGGAGATAGACCGGGGCCTGTTGAGCTGGATGGATGGAGACCAGGGGGCCACCGTCTTCCTGAGAGAGATCCAAGACCTCAACAAACACATCCTGGAAGACTGTGCCCTCAAGATGGTGGACCGGCTCCCCGATGGCTGCCTGGACACAGACGCCCAGAACCTTCTCCAGGGCCTCAAGGGACGCATTGCCGACACGCAGCCCGGGGTTCTCAAGGCCCACCACCTGCCATGGAGCCGCGACCTGGTGAACCCTAAAAACAAGGCTCATGCTCGGTACCTGAAGGAGCTGGGGGAGCAGTTTGTGGCCAGGGCTAACCACCAGGTCCTCGAGCACCTCCGGGAGCTGGAGGCGGCCAGGCAGGACTTGGCGTGGCTCTACCAGGAGATCCGCCACCACCTGGCGCTGAGTGCCGAGGCCAATCGGGCTTTCTGTGGGCGCCAGGAGCTCCTGAGCCAGCTGGGGCAGCAGCTCCGCCAGAGCGACGGCCACCCGCACTCGCTGCTGGTGCTCTTCGGACCCCCGGGCATCGGGAAGACGGCTCTGATGTGCAAGCTGGCGGAACAGATACCGGGGCTGCTCGGCCGCAAGACAGTGACGGCCCTGCGGCTCCTGGGGACGTCACAGATGAGCTCCGATGCCCGCGGCCTGCTGCAGAGCATCTGCTTCCAGGTGTGCCTGGCCTACGGGCTGCCCCTGCCCCCTGCCCAGGTCCTGGAGGCCCACACCAGGGTGGTCCAGTTTTTCCACACCCTCCTCCACACCGTCTCCTGCCGAAACTTCGAGTCCCTTGTCATTCTGTTGGACTCCGTGGACGACGTGGAGTCCATCCGCCGTGCCCGGAGGGTCCCCTGGCTGCCTCTCCAGTGCCCCCCCAGGGTCCACCTCATCGTCTCAGCCTGCTCAGGGGGCCAGGGGATGCTAGACACCATGAGGCAGATGCTGACAGACCCAGAGGCCTACTGGGAGGTGAAACCCCTCTCCGGAAATCAAGGGCAAGAGATGGTTCAGCTCCTGCTGGCAGCCTCGAGGAGGACACTGAGCCCGGGGCAGACGGAGCTGCTCTGGGCCAGCCTCCCAGAGTGTGGGCACCCAGGGCGGCTGAGGCTGGCCTTTGAGGAGGCCCGGAAATGGGCCTCCTTCACCATACCTGCCCCCCTGGCCTCCACTGCTAAGGAAGCAATGCACCAACTGTGTGCCCGTCTGGAGCAGACACACGGGCACCTCCTGGTGGCCCATGTGCTGGGCTACATCGTGTCTTCCCGGTAAGTCTCTGCTGTTTATGCCTTGGTTTGGTAATTGACACCGGATGCATGCATTCGCTTCTCGCGGCTTAGACAGACATTTACTCTCTCACAGTTCGGAGGCCGGAGTGTGGAGTCAGGGCGTCAGCAGGGCCGCGCTCCCTCTGAAGGCGCTAGGGGAGAATCCGTTCTGGGCTATTCTTTTAGCTCCTGGTATTGCCAGCAACCCATGGCCGGAGATGCCCTCACGCCAGCCTCTGCCTCTGCCTCCTTGTGATCTCCTCCCTGTGGATCTTTCTATCCAACTTTCTTTCTCTATCCACTGCTCATGGGCGCAGGGCCCACTCTGATCTAGCGTGACCGCATCGTGTGTTCGTCACGTCCCTAAAGACCGTTTTCGGATAAGGTCACATTCACAGGCTCCAGGTGGTCATGAACTCTGGGGACACTTCAACCCAGTGCAGTTCATGTATTAAAATGTTCTCTGGGTTGTTTTTTTTTTTAAGTTTATTTATTTATTTTGAGAGAGAGAGAGAGAGAGAGCACACATGCGTACACGTGAGCGAGGAAGGAGAGGCAGAGAGAAAGAGGGAGAGAAACATCCCAAGCAGGCTCTGCACCGTCAGCACAGAGCCCAACGTGGGGCTCGAGCTCACGAACTGTGAGATCATGACCTGAGCTGACACCAAGAGTCAGACGCTCAACCGAGTGAGCGACCTGGGGGACCCTGAAGTTCACTCTTTTAAAGGGTACAGTTCAGTGGCATTTAAGACATTCATAGTGTTGGGCAAGTGCTATCTGTCTCCAGAACATTCCATCACCCTGAAGGGAAACCCCATCCCCGTTAGCCGTCTCTCCGCACCCCCAACCCTGGCAGCCCCACCTGTTCCCTGTCTCTGTGGATCTGCCTATGGAATTTCTTTTGCATAGTTTTTACTTTGAAATACTTGGAAATTATGGACTAGGGGAGGAATTCCCTATAGTATGAAAATAGTGGGGAAATGCCCACACATCAGGGTTTCTCAGTCTTGGCACTAATGATATTGGGGGCTGCATCATCGGCATGTGGGGGCTGTCTTATACACCATAGGAAGCAGACCAGCATTCCTGGCCTTGACCTTGGATACTAGTAGTACACCCCCCTCAGCTGTGACAACCAAAAATGTCTCAGAATATTGCCAAGAGTCCTCTGCAGGCAGAATAGACCCTAGGTGAGAGCTACTGCTGTATGCCTTTCCCCCAGACTCACAGATTTGCCATCATAGCTCCCTCTAGCTTGCTATCTATCTATCTATCTATCTATCTATCTATCTATCTCTGTATCTATCATGTATCTCTGTATCTATCTCTGTATCTCTGTATCTCTATCTTCACACACACACACACACATATACACACACACACACACACAGTTTTTCCCTGAATCATTTGACAGTTCATTACAGACATGATTCCTCTTTACCTTTATTTATTTATTTATTTCTATTTTTTACATTTATTTATTTTTGAGAGACAGGGAGAGGCAGAGCACAAGTGGAGGAGGGACAGAGAGAGGGAGACACAGAATCCAAAGCAGGATCCAGGCTCTGAGTTGTCAGCACAGAGCCCGACGTGGGGCTTGAACCCACGAACTGTGTGTGAGATCATGACCTGAGCCAAAGTCGGACGCCCAACTGATGGAGCCACCTAGGCGCCCCTCCTCTTTGCCTTTAAACACTTCACATATTTCTTAAGAACAAGGACCATCAGAACCCCACATCACCACAGGACAATTCCAAAATTCAGGAAGTACATCACAGATGCATTTATATTATTTAGTACATGGTTTATAATGAAAATTTGCCAAGTGTCTCAAAAATGTCCTCTATGGCTGCCTCCCCATCCCACTCCCACTTTGTCCCCAATCCAGGATCCAAACCAGGATCACATGTTGCACTTAGTCGTCTAAATTCTCTGGCTTCCTTTAGTTTGGAACATTCCACCATCTGTCTGTGTCCTTTCGAAGAGTCCAGGTCCGTTGTTTTGTAGATCAGCGCTCCTCAGCCCTCAATGGGGGATGCACACCTCGCTTCCTGTTTTCCTAGAAAGAATTTGATTCGGCAGGTGTAGTGTGGGCCCCGGAATCCCGTGTTTCTCCCTGGTGATGCCAATGCCGCTGGTCCAGGGACCACACCTGAGCTGAGGCAGTTTGTAGAAGGTCCCCCCACCTGGCTGGGTCTGATGTTTCCTCGTGGTTGCACTCAGGTTCAACCTGAGCTGTGTTCAGCCCTTCTTGGGCATGAATTATTTTTCCCGTCATAAATTTGCAAGCTCCTCTCAGTATTTAACAAGCAATATATGGGGAGATCTCAGAAAAACCTTTCTAAAGCCAAATGCTCTGAAGGATTGACCACCAGAATGCATCACCCCTTAATCCCAAGCTTGTGGTGTGAGAATCCGCAAGAAAGCAAAGAGGAAAATCCAAGCCGGTGTCTTTATAGAGTTGGAAGGACAGATTATTGAGAGGCGGAAAGCCTTGGGGCTGCACACGGTCATGTCACGGTCAGGAGCAGGAGAGAGGAGTGTGTCCGTCACACACACCCAGAGGCCAGAGTCCGGCCCCCTGGAGGGTGGAGTGGAGGCCAGTTGGCAGACACACAGCAGAAAGCTTTGTGTTGACCCGAACGGCTCTTAGAAACACTCGAGCCCACCGTCAGTAACGCTGGACAAGGTGGCCTCCCCTCTTCAGTTTCCTGGGCAATTTTTCTTCTAGACCTTTGCCCTTTGCCCCAGATCAGCCAAGATGGCAGTGATCCGACCGGTGAGGGTCTGTTTGTTTGTTTGCCAGGCACAGAATCTAGTGTGTAAGAAACAGGGCTTTATGCCAAGGCCACGGGAAGAGCTTGGGGAACCCAGGGCCACCCAGTTTCTAACTCCAGCGGGGCAAACCCCAGATTTCATGTCATACCCCAGATTTTGCGACCGGTGCTCTCGCCTCCCCCCTCCCCGCAAAGTGGAGGCTTGGCTGCTTCTATAAAAGTACAAAGACAGACTGGGGAATGTTCCAGAAATAAGTGTTGGGCCATCAGGCCAACCTGATGCAGCAGTCTACACGGAGGAGGTGGGTTGTCATGGGAACCAGAAAGCCTTGAGAAACAGAACAGACCTCTGAGTCCTCTCTACCCATTGGCTTCTGTTCTGGACTCTTCCTTTGTCCCCCTCCCCCCAACCCTGGGAACTTCCATTCGTCTCAAGCTTCCACTGGGGTCATTAGCCCCTATTTCAGAGAACTGGCACCATCACACTGGCTCCTTCTAGAGTCCTGATTCCAAAATCCGGGGAGACAGAGATGATTGGCCGGCTTGGCCCCACGTCTGGTCCAATTAGCAAAGCCTAGGGCCTCGCCGGGTGTAGGAGCTGCCCCCCCAGGGGCTGGCGGGCAGGAGGTTTATGGAGGGCGCCTGCAGGGGCCCTGATTCGGTGCCTCTCATTGCATGAAAACACATCAGCGGCTGCGGTGGTTGATTGCCTGGCTCTGTGAGCAGAACTGAGTCCTTCCAGACCAGGGGGACCACACCTGCCATGTCCAGGGACACTTTTGGTTGTCATAACTTAGGGTGGGGGGGCGCTGCTGGCATTGAATGGGTGGAGACCAGGGATGCCACTCAGCGCCCCACAGTGCCCAGGACGGTCCCCACCGCAGATGGTGACAGAGTTCCCATGTCGGCAGTTCCAGGGTGAGAAGCCGTAGCCTGAGAGAGGCCCTGTCTGCTGTCTGTTCCGTCTGTCTGTCTATCTTTTTTCTAATGTTTATTTATTTATTTTTGAGACAAAGAGAGAGAGCAGGAGAGGGGGAGAGAGAGAATCCCGAGCAGGCTCCACACCATCAGTGCAGAGCCCCACGTGGGACTTGATCCCACGACCATAAGATCACGGCCTGAGCTGAGATCAAGTCAGACGCTCAACCAACTGAGCCACCCAAGCTTCCATCTGTCTGTCTACCTATCTATCTATCTATCTATCTATCTATCTCTATCTATCTATCTATCTATCTATGTCTATCTATAATCTATCATATCATCTCTCTCTTTCTATATATGTACATACATATATATATATGTGTATATATATATATATATATGGGGATATATATAAAATCCCCTCAGAGCACCTGAGTAGCTCAGTCAGTTAAGAATCCGACTCCTGATTTCGTTGGTTTTGGCTCAGGTCATGATCTCAAGCTTCGTTGGTTCAAGCCTGGTGCTGGGCTCTGTGCTGACAGCTAGCTCAGAGCCTGGAGCCTGTTTCAGATTCTGTGTCTCCCACTCTCTCTGACCCTCCTCTGCTCACACTGTCTCTCTCTGTCTCTCTCTGTCTTTCTCTCCCAGAAATAAATAAAACATTTTAAAAATTTTTAAATAAATCACAACCTGAGCCAAAAACCAAAAAAATCAAGAGTTGAACACCCAACTGAATGAGCCCCCCAGGCGCCCATAGAGTGGGGGGCTTCTAAATGATTTGTGCCTCACAGTTCTGGAGGCTGGGGCGTCCAAGGTTAAGGTGCCAGCAGATACAGTGTCTGCTGAGAGCTCTGTCCCTGGTCCATAAACGACCAGCTTCTTGCTGTGTCCTCACGTGACAGAAGGGATGAGGGAGTTCTCTGGAGTACTAATCCCTTCGTGGGGTTCCACTTCATGACCTAATCACTTCCCTACTTCCTAGTACCGTCACCCAGGGGATTAGAACCTCAACGTATGGATCTGGGCTCGACGCACATCCTCAGTCCATAGCAGCCACATTTGGTTTATCCACTCATCCGCTCATGGATATTTGGACTATTTTCCCCCTCTGACTCTCGTAAACAATGCTTCTCTGGACAAGCATGTACAAGTCATGGTTTGGACGCCTGTCTGGAGTGAGATTCTAAAATCATAAATCTGATTCCGTGTCCTGCCCTGATTAACCCTTCCAGGGACTTCCCCTTGCTTTGAGAAAAGTATCCAAAGTCCTTGCCAAGGCCTGCTGGATCTGGCTGCCTTCCACCCCTCCGCCCCCCGCCCGGAGCACCCTGGCCCCAGATCTCACTCCAGTCCCTTCCCTTCCCCCCTTGGCTCCGGTCGGACCTTCTCAGAGGGACCCACCTGCTCCAAGAGCCATGTCTCTCTCTCCGGACCCCACCTCATTGCTCTTTCCTGTGTGACGTGGATTGGGTTATCTTCTCTCTGGCGATCAGTGTTACCCAACCTCTTTGTGCTCTTCTCCTGTTATCCCCCACCTGGTTCTGGGAATGACAAGATAGGCTTCACGGGTGTCTAGCTCTTAGTCCTCCAAGAGTCAATATGGCAGCTCGTACGAATGATACTCGTGATTAACGGTTGAACGAAACCGCCGACGGTTAAGTGACGAGACATTGAGCGTCCAGGACCTGCTGTCTGCTTCTCTGAGAATGAATGGCCTGGCCTGGTCCCTCCCCAGAGGGCCCTGCTCAGGGACACGATGCCCAGGAACGTGGGGCTGCGGCTTCCTTAGAGTAGGCTGCCACCTTGTTCCATCTCGATTGGGTGGGAAGAGCCATTGAACTGGAGCCGGAAAGGAGGGGACCCAAGCTTGATTTGCACTGAGGGTGTGTCAGAGATGGGGAAAGAAGCTTCCATCCTGAAGGAGGGGGGCTTCGAGGAGGAGACCAGGAGGGGTGCTATCAAATGGACCCCCCAACCCCCGGAATGTGGCTCCCGGGAATTCTGGTTTGGAGAAAACTGTCAAGAGGAAAGCAGGTTGACAGGGTGGCGTGGCTTACCCGTTGGGGAAGGTGTGGAGTCAGGCCCCAGTGATATTCCAGCTGCGATCGGCAAAGTTGATTGTTCTCGCAGGAGAGAGCCCAGGGACCCACACTTGTTGTACACTAGAGAGCGCTAGTGAGCAGGTGTCTATACGTGTGAAGAATGTGGTAGGTGTTCTGATCCAAAGGAAGGCTTCAGGGCGCCTGGGGGGCTTAGTCGGTTAAGCGTCCGACTTGGGCTCAGGTCATGGTCTCACAGTTTGTGAGTTCGAGCCCCACATCGGGCTCTGTGCCGACAGCTCAGAGCCTGGAGCCTGCTTCAGATTCTGTCTCTCTCTCTCTCTCTCTCTCTCTCTCTCTCTGTCCCTCCCCCACTCACCTCTGTCCATCTCTCTCTCTCTCAAAAATAAGACTAAACATTAAAAATTTAAAAAAAAGAGAGAGAGGGAGACTTCAATCCACATCAGAGAACTACACGTGCACACACACACACACACACACACACAAAAGTGCGCGCACACGAGGTGTGTGCACCCCACAAGGTGCACACGGAAGCCAGCCTGCCTCTTTCCCTTGCTCTAACGGGAACCCTGAGTGCTGTCCTGTTGGACGAAATGTGCAGGCAAATCTGCAGCTTGCCCAGCCTGATGCCCTCAGGTATCGGGAAGTCCCTAGAGCGCAGCACAAAAACTTCATCACCCACCCCCTTTAGGGCCGCCTCCTTTCTCTCGCTCTGCCCTTTCCCAGGCCAGGAGACGTCAGCGAGGCCGGCATGGGCACAGATGGTTTCTGCGTTGTTTTTCTAAATTACCTCCTGTCTCCCTCATCTGAGGCTGGGGAGAGGCTGGCCCGCGGCTCTGTAGGTGTGTGCGTGCAGAAGGAAAGATCCGGAAGGTCTTACGCGACGGGCACGGCTGTAACCGGGCACCAGCGCCTGCTGGGCACCGTCCAAATGTCGTCCCTCAGAGTGGCCCCTTGGGTGACAGGCTGGGTGCTGTGCACCTTGTTGGCCACGCCTGTCCCTCTCTGGGCTCCTGTGTCCTCCAGCTGCAGGAAACAGAGTGTTCTGGGCCTGTCCCTCCTCCCTGCAGGCACGGGCTCTCAGAGGCAGAGCTGAAGGATGTCCTGTCCCTGGATGACGAGGTCCTGCAGGCCGTCTATCAGGACTGGACCCCGCCCAGCAAGGAGCTCCTGCGTTTCCCACCGCTGCTCTGGGTACGGCTTCGTCGGGATCTGGGCCACTGCTTGGCCCGGCGGCCCGTGGACGGCTTCACGCTCCTGGCCGTGGCCCACAGGTGGGTCCCGCGTGGCGGTATTGCTGTCTGGGTGCCCGAGGGCCAGGACTCACTCATCAGCCTCTTCCTTGTTCCAGATCCTTCTTCTCTTTATTTTTTAAATTTTTTTAATATTTAATTTTTGATACACAGAGAGAGAGACTCAGAGTGTGAGCAGGGGAGGCGCAGAGAGAGAGGGAGACACAGAATCTGAAGCAGGCTCCAGGCTCTGAGCTGTCAGCACAGAGCCCCACGTGGGGCTCGAACTCACAAACCGTGAGATCATGACCTGAGCTGAAGTTGGCTGCTTAGCCGACTGAGCCACCCAGGCGCCCCTCCAGATCCTTCTATCCCTTTCCCCAGCGAACCAGCGTGGCATTCAAGGGTTTCCACATCACCGACTCGGACACAACTAACTTGTTTTTGAAACTGAAGATAAATTCTCATAACATAAAATGCATCGTGTTAAAACATACAAATTCAGTAACATGTAACACATCCACAATGTTGTGTCACCAGCCTCTCTAAATAGTTCTAGAACAATTCTATCCCCCCGAAAAGGACACCTTGCCCCCATCAGCAGTCACTGCCCCCCCCCCCCCCCCCCCCCAGCTCCAGGGGACCCGCTAATCCGCTTTCTGTCTGTATGGATTTGCCTGATCTGGACGTTTCATATACACGGGATCAGACAACATGTGGGATGTTGTCTCCTTCCTTTCCCTCCCCCACAGAAGGCAGGGTGTCCCCTCAGCATCATTTGGGGGACAGGGAACAGTAGATGAGGAATATGCCCCCTGAAGCGTGGAGCCCAGCTCAGGGCTTGAACTCATGACCCTGAGATCAAGACCGGAGCTGAGATCAAGAGTCTGACACTTACCCGACTGAGCCACCCAGGCGCCCCTGAACACCTATTTTTAAATTCTTTTGGTCTATACCTGGGAGTGAAGTTGCTGGGTCAAACAGGACCTTATTTTGTGTTTCACTTATGAAGGGATCCAAATGTGCCTTTTTCAAGTGAGTATATTAACTGGGAAAGAAGAAAGATAGGCCAATTTATAGACAAATGGCCACCGACGGGGCAGGCGGTCAGCAGAGCCAGCGCGCATCAGCGGGGGGCCAGGGAGGGGCCTGCATATGGGAACAGCCCCTGGAAGGCCGGTGGCGCCCTCCGAGCTCACCCAGGCCCCAGGCCCACGAGCCCGTGTCCCCTCTCCACAGGCAGCTGGCCGAGGTGGTCCAAGAGCGTTACCTGTCCGGCGCTGAGAGGGCCAGGATGCACGGGGTCTTGGCTGACTTCTTCTCAGGGGCCTGGAGTCAGGGCACCAAGAAGCTCATCACCCTGCCGCTCGTGGGGAAGCCCCTGAACCTGGACCGCATGGTGAGCTGTCGGTCTGGGATCCCGGCTCTCGGCCTGCCGCGCAGGCAAGGTCAAGGCAGCCTGGTGGGGACCACCCGGCTCCTTCCTTCTTTTCCACCCAGAATGCCATCCTGACCTTCTTCCTTTCCCTTCCCAGAGAAGGTGGGATGTCCCCTCAGCCTCTGAGCATGATTTGGGGGGTGGGGAGCAGCAGAAGAGGAATATGACCCCCCATCCCCAACATTCCAGAGGGGGGAGGGAAGAATCACAATATTCAGGAGTATGTGAGAATGGCCCTGAACTCCTGAGGTCTCCTGCCTTTGGGCCTTTGCACATGCCATTGCCTGGCCCTGAAATACCGTTGTTTTCTGATATGGTTCACCACAGACTCCTACTTAACCTCCGAGGCCCAGCTCCAATGCCCCTTGGATTCCCTGAGCCCCAAGTTCCTCCCTCTGCCCTGGCCCTGCCTGTGGTGGGTGTGAGACATCTCTGTCTGGAATTGTGTCCCAGTCCCCTCCAGGGGCACCCGTGTTTGTGGAGCGGATGAACGAGCTTGTGTCTCAGCAGCCTGATTGTCGCGTCCCCCCCGCACCCCCCTCCCCGCCCCCCGCAGGTGGCCCCTCAGCCTCTGTGGTTCTCAGACACCGTCGCAAATCTGCGGAAGCTGAAGGAGTTGCCTCATCACCTGGTCCACTCAGGCCGCCTTGAGGAGCTGAAGCAGGAGGTTCTGGGTAAGGGTCGCACCCATTTTGGAGGAGCCTGAGCGGGTCCCAACCCTCCACAGGGCTCCCTCCTCGAGAGGCTTGGGAAGGGTGAAGGGCAAACGTCAGAATCCTTGATTCCTCTTAAGATAGTGGTTCTCACCAGGGGCCATCCTGTGCCCCCCACACACACACCAGCAGCAGGGGACACATGGCAATATCTGGGGACATTTTGGTTGTCACAGCTCGGGGAAGGGAGTGCTACTGGCATCTAGTGCTAGCTGATAGTGCAGAGGTGAGAAATGTGGTCTGGGGATGAGACCCTGTCTGTCTGTCTGTCTGTCCTCTCTATCCCCTATCACCTCTCTTCCTGTCCATCTTCCTATTTGTCTCTCTGTCCATCTGTTCATCCCCGTGAGTCTCGACCAGGGGTGATTCTGTACCCAGGAGACTGTTGGCAATGCTCACGTTTCTGGTGATTATCACTGCGGAGGTGCTGTGGCATCTGGTGGGTGGGGGCCAGGCCCCCCCACAAGGTACGGCCCCACCTCAGAGAACGAACCGGCCCCAGACCCCAGCAGTGCTGAGGCCGCGAACCCCTAGAGAAATGGAGAGGGGAGAGGCAGCTCCCAGCATGAACCAGAAGGACACGTGTGCCCTACAATACCCCCTTCCCCACCCCCCTACAGGCAGCATGAACTGGATCTCCTGCCGCGCCATCGCTGGAGGCCTCGACAGCCTGCTGGACGACTTTGACCTGTATGCCCCTTACCTGGACTGTCCGGAGGTCGGCCTGGTCCGGGAAGCCCTCCAGCTGTGCCGCCCAGCCGTGGAGCTCCGAGGCATGGGTGAGTCGGCATGGCCGGGGGCTCCGCTCAGCGCTGACTCCTAGAAGCTCATTCTCCCCACCAAGACCCCAGCTGGGTTTTCATTAGCTGGCACACCTTTCCTGTCTACGCCTATGGGCTTTCTAGAATTTTTGAATTGAACCTGGAAGAGCTTTGGAGTGAAGCATTTTCTAGAAAGGGCCAGGTAGGAAAACTGTCAGGCAAAAATCGGTGAAATTATGTCAATATTAATATAATTAGAGAGGAAACACATTCCCATAATTGTTTGATTGATAACATCTGAAATAGCATGATAGTAGTTGAACGTGACTTTTTGTAACTCAAGTCTACTGGCGTAAGAAGGGGTGGGGGCTCCTGGGTGACTCAGTCGGTTAAGCGTCTGACTTCGGCTCAGGTCATGATCTCATGGTTCGTGTATTTGTGGATTCGAGTCCCAAGTTGGGCTCTGTGCTGACAGCTCACAGCCTAGAGCCTGCTTTGGATTCTGGGTCTCCCTCTCTCTGCCTCTCCTCCACTCATGCTCTGTTTCTCTCTCAAAAATAAATAAACATTAAAAATTTAAAAAAAAGAGAGAGAAAGAAGGGCCAGTTTTTGCTCTGAAGGAAAACATTTTGCCTCATTGGGGTTCAAAGTCAGTGTTTCCTGCCATCCCATCAATTGCAAATATCGATCTGCAAAAACCATTCTCAGCTCTTCCGGGGGAGGGGGAGCCGGTTGGGCTGGGTTTGGCCCACCCTCTACCCTAGAGCTTGAAGAATCTCTGATTCTCTGCCCAGGATGGTGTTTTTGTTCGTTTTTATCTTTGTTTTTTCAATTATGGTAAAATACACATAACACAAAATGTACCATCTTAACCATTTTTAAGCACACAGCTCAATGACATTAACCACATTCCCATCGGTGGGCAGCCATCACCGCTGTCCATCTCCAGGATCTGTTCATCCTGCAAAACTGAACCTGTGTCCCCATTAAACACACATACCTGGTTCCCTTCTCCCAGGCCCTGGCACCCACCATCTACTCTCTAACTCTATGAATCTGAGTAGCGTAGGGACTTCACATAAGTGGGCTCATACAGTGTTGGCCCTTCTGTGTCTGGCTTCTGTCACACAGCTTAATTTCTTCGGTGTTCATCCATGGTGTAGCAGCGTCAGAATCTCCTTCATTTTTAAGGCACAATAACATTGCCTTGTGCAGAGGGACCACATTTCATTTCTCCATTCACCCACCGATGGACACCTGGGTCGTTTCTACCTAGAGCCCGCTGTGAATAATGCTGGTGTGAACACAGGGATTTTCAACTCCTCGGAGTAGACACCCAGAAATACAATTGTTGGATCAGATCGTAATTCGATGTTTATCTTTTCAAGAAACCGCCATACAGCAGCTGCACCATTTTACATTCCCACCAGCAGGGGGTGCGTGAGGGTTCCAATTTCTCTGTGCCCTCCCCAGCACTTGTCACTTCCTGATTTTTAAAAAGAATTAACAGTCATCCTAATGAGTGTGATGTGGTCAGAGGGTTTTTTATCATACGATCCCCACCTGGTTTTGATTTGAGGGTTTTAATAAGGAGTTTTATAAAGGTGCTTAAAGGGGCGCCTGGGTGGCTTAGTCGGTTAAGCGTCCGACTTTCGCTCAGGTCATGATCTCGCGGTTTGTGGGTTCGAGCCCCGCGTCGGGCTCTGTGCTGACTGCCAGCTCAGAGCCTGGAGCCTGTTTCAGTCTGTGAGTCCCTCTCTCTCTGACCCTCCCCACTCACGCTGTCTCTCTCTCTCTCTCTCTCTCCTAGAAATAAATAAAAATATTAAAAAAAATAAATAAATAAAGGTGCTTAAGTCCCGATATCCCTTCTGTGGCTCCCTTGGAGCTTAACCAAATGCTCCTCCTAGGAGAAGCCTGTCCAGCCACCACTAAGCCTGGACACCCCCCAGCTCCTGCATTCTCCATCCCTACACCCTTTTTCCATCTGCCTCCGCTCTTTTTTTTTTTTAATGGGGGGGAGGGGCAGAAAGAGAGAGAACCCCAAGCAGACTCCACGCTCAGCACAGAGCCCAACATGGGGTTCGATACATGACCCTGGGGTCATGATCTGAGCTGAAATCAAGAGTCATACACTCAACCAACTGAGCCACCAGGGTGCCCCTGCCTTAGCTCTTTTTTTTTTTTTTAATATTTTTATTTATTTCTAGGACAGAGAGAGAGAGACAGCGCGAGCAGGGGAGGGTCAGAGAGAGAGGGAGACACAGACTCTGAAACAGGCTCCGGGCTCTGAGCTGGCAGTCAGCACAGAGCCCGACGCGGGGCTCGAACCCACGAACCGCGAGACCATGACCTAAGCGAAAGTCGGACGCTTAACCGACTAAGCCACCCAGGCGCCCCTTTAGCTCTTAATTACTATTTCTGTCGGTTTTCTTTTGCATCACCTGTGAGTCCCACTGGACTCCGAGCTCTGTGCGGGTAGGGGTACCATCCACTAATCCTCTGCCAAATTGCCAGCTCTACCACCTGGACCAGTCCTGGCCAACAACACAGATCTTGAGCCCCACAGTGTCCATTCAAATCTGGGCTTTGCTACCTGTGATCGTGCAAGCCCCACCCTGCCTTGCTGTCCTCAGTCTTTCCATCTGCAAAATGGGGGTGCTGCTCAACCCTCCTACCTACAGCTGCTGGGGAAAGGTATGCAAGTCAGTTCATGCAGAGCCTGTCCCCATGGTGCCATCTAAGCGTCCTGTTACTGCCACATAACAGCATCAACATTGTTGATGTGAATGGCCTTGGACAAGCTTTGCATCACCTGCAAAATGTGGGATTGGACTAAAGTATGTCCAGGATGCCACCCAAGTGGAAGGTGTCGGGGCCCAACATCAGCTTATGCCTTTCAGTTGTAAACCTCACAGGGAGTGATTCACCAGGAAAACAGCCTTGGGAACAGCTGCCCAGTTTGAGGGAAGATTTAAAAGCCCAAATCACAGCATGTTCTTTGCAGGAATCCTTGATTAACAACCTGCGGCTTGCCCAGCACCAGCAGGTGTAGGAATGAATGTCGCCACCAGAGGGCGCAGCTGGCCAACCTTGAACTTGGAGCCGGCTCCTAAAAGCCCGCCTGCATTCCCAATTTCTCCTATTGCCTCAGGCTCCAGGATGATTGGGTGGGATGACGTTTCTGACTCAATTTTTATTTTAAAAGCTGACATTTTGTTCATCATGAGCTTGGGGGGGCCTTCATTTCGATTTTTTAAAATATTGCATTAAAGTAATATTTATCTTGATGGGTTGTGTTTGTTGGTGCAACCTTAAATTTTGCACCCATGGTGGGTGGGGCACTTGACCCTGGTCCTGACCTTGTCTCGTTACACCCACCAGCCAACCAAGGCACAAGGCATTGTCACCATTGCCCCAAACTCCGCGGTTAGGGTAAGCCGACCACAGAGAAAATAAACTGTTGCCTTCAGCGTCCCTGGTCTTCACTCGAGGTTGGAATAAAACTTTTTGGGTTGGCCTCTTGCTGGCTGTGTGACCTTGTACAAGTTGCTTAACCTCTCTGAGCCTCAGTGGTCCCCTTTATGAACTTGGGGTAATAATGATGTTATTGCTGTTGTGAGAGGCAGAAAGCACTGCCCTCTCCAAAGCTATATTCACTTCCTAATCCTTGGAACCTGTGACTCTTACGTGGCAAATGGTGTGATTAAATTAAGGAATTTGAGATGGAGAGTTTATGCTGGATTACCCAGATGGGCTCTAAAGTCAACCCCAAAAGTCTATTAAAATGGAAGCAGGTGGAGATTTGACGGAACGGTCTGGAATCTGCCTCGGGGGTGGCTGGGGGCCCTTTTGCCTTGCTCTGCATTTCACTGCTCAAGCTTGTTGCCTAAAAGCGGCCTCTACAACTTACAGGGTGTCCATGATGTTCTAGGTGCTAAGAACAGAGCAACGAACCAGACAGATCTCATCCCTGTTCTCCAGAAATTCGAAGTCTAGGGTAGTGAGGAGAGGCGAGCCAGGGAATAAACACTTGAAGAAAGGTCCATTGCAGCTGTGATGAGCTGCGGGGTGGGGCAGGTGCGTTTGAGGGTTGGGCTGGAAAATGCTTTTTAATGAAGTGGCTCTTTAGCTAAAATTAGCATGAGAAAGGGGGAAGGCAGGGAGAGGAAGCCTTCCAGGCGGCGGCAAGAGCCTAGCCCAAAGCCCCTGAGGCTAAGAACCACCTGGTGCCCTTGAAGTAAGGGGGTGAATGTTTCTAGGGAAGAAACCGAGGCAGGAGGAGGTGGCCCTTCCCCTTAACGTGAGTCTCCTTTGTTGCAGAGAGGAGCATCCTGTATACAGAACTCCTGGCCAGACTCCACTTCTTCACCACCTCCCATCCGGCCCTGGTGGGACAGCTGTGCCAACAGGCCCAGAACTGGTTCCGGATGTGCCCACACCCTGTGCTGGTACCCTTGGCGGGATTCCTCCAGCCCCCGGGGGGACCCCTCCGGGCAACCCTCACCGGCTGTCACAAGGGTGAGTCTCCGCAACACTGCAAAAATCCGGGCAGTCCCCTCATGCCTGAGGCCAGCGGGTGGCTGGAGTTTCTGGCTGCTCTTGGGGCTCTGCTCTGTCCGTATAGGGGGGTCCCAAGGGTCCCACCCGGGCAGGCCCTTGCTGTCTCATGCTGACTCCACTCTCTCTGCCCCCCAGGGACTGTAGATTACTAGTGTAAATACCACTAATGAGCCCAGAGCAAGGAGGTTCGGACTGACGCAAACAATCGAGGGCCCATCTTTCGGATAGTTTCTGGGATTTACTGGCTTATGCTGGTAAGCCCAAAAGTTAGGGATTGGGCCCGACTGGCCGGTGAGAGGCTGGTGGAACTCATGGATTCTCTCGGGACACCACAAGGTCAGAGAGACCAGAGGACTTAGTTCTCTTTATTTATTTGTTATTCTTCCTTCCCTCCTTTCTGTCTGTGCTTCCATCCATCCATCATCCACCCACCCTCCTTTCCTTCCTTCCTACCTTCCATCCACCCATCTGTCTGTCCATTAGTTATCTTCCTTCCAGCCCTCTGTCCACACCACTTATCTTTCCATTTCTCTCCTCTGGACATCTTCCATTCACTCACTCACCCCACCACCCATCTATGTACCCAGCCATTCATCAATCCGCCCACCCATGTATCAGTTGGTTCATCTATCTATTCATCTACCACCCACCCATCCACTCACCCACTTACCCAGCCAGCCACCTGGCTATCCACTCATCCCCCAGTCTACCTCCACTCATCCACCCCTTTATCTGCCCACCCATAATCCCTTGCATTATTGAAAAGCCACCAAATACAATTAAGCTGTGGCTTAAATGTCAGTTATTGCAAGTCGGGCTATTTCTGTGCCACATGCGCCTGTAGGGAAAGCTACTCCCAAGACATAGTGCCTCCAAAGCAGAAATTCTTTTTTTTTTTAATGTTTTTTATTTATTTCTAGCAGAGAGAGAGAGAGAGACAGCGTGAGCAGGGGAGGGTCAGAGAGAGAGGGAGTCACAGACTCTGAAACAGGCTCCAGGCTCTGAGCTGGCAGTCAGCACAGAGCCCGACGCGGGGCTCGAACCCACGAACCGCGAGATCATGACCTGAGCGAAAGTCGGACGCTTAACCGACTAAGCCATCCGGGCGCCCCATCCAAAGCAGAAATTCTAAGAGACAAAGTACGAAACAGGGAGGAATTGAGTTAGGGACAGCCTCTAGAATGCTGTGTTCAGAAGGGTTCTTAGACGGAATCTGGTTTAATGGGGAAGACTATCCTAATATAGTTCACATGCTATAACAAAGGACAAAATAGCAGTGGCTTAAGTAAAATAGCTCATTTCCTCCCACTCCCACATAACAGTCCAGGCATAAGTAGAGGCAACACAGTGTCTCCAGGTGTCAGGTGTTAGACATAAGCGCACTGCCCCAGTCAAAGGAGGGATGTGGAGACTCGGAGCACAGTGAAGCTAGGGTTTAATCAACGTCCACGCAAGGGCAGGAGTCTGACGGACTGACACTGTTAAGGCAGTTACAGCAGGCAATTTATCTCCTACGGTGCAAGTCCCTCCCCTGGTTCTTCATTGGCTGAGTGCTGGAGAGGTTACCCCTTACCGGAAGGCAAGTCCCTCTCCTGGTTCTCCATTGGCTGAATCCTACAGAGGTTACAGCCTTACCGGGAGGTACGTCCCTCCCCTGGTTTCCCATTGGCTGAGTGCTACAGAGGTTCCGGCCTTACCCGGAAATCGCCTATGCCCATGTAAGGCAAAAAGTATTCTGATTGGAACACATGTACATTCCTTGAGGTGACACAGAGACGCCAGTTCTTGGCGCGTGCTCATTGCAAAGCCCGCAAAAAAATAAGGCTGCGAAACTCAGAAGGGGTGAAGAACCAGGAAGTGAAGTGTCTAAAGGTTTGGGACGCCATTGTGTTGGGGGGAGGGATCCCTACCCATTTTCCAATAGGTTGTCGGTTAAACGGCACAGCTTTTATTTTGGTATTTCGGAAAATGAATCATCTCCCTTACTTCTCACATCAGGGACCTAGACTCTCAATCTTGTTGCTCTGCTATTTTCAGTGTGAGACTTCCATTTGATGGCTCTACAGTGGCTGTTCCCGCCCATACCCTTAGGATGGCCTTTCAGCCAGTGGGAAGGGGAGGGGGATGGCAGACCTCTTCCCTCAGGGGGTGTGGTCCAGAAGCCAAATTTACCGCCACTGTGAGAAGTGTCTCACTGGTAAGAACTTGGCCATCTTCAGCCGCAAAGGAGCCTGGGAAATACGACCTTTGTCCTGGTGAATGCTACTCAGAGAACACCTGCGGACTGTGGGCTTTGTTACAAAAAGAAGGCTGACGGAATGGCTATGGGGGACAAATCAGTGCAGTGACTGATGAGGAAGTTACAGTCACAGAGAAGGTTTTGTTTTTGCCGTTCCCCGGGTAGGGAGACTGTGTTCCAGACCCGCTGTGCCTCTGTAGGAGCCCTAGTTACGTCAGAGCTCAGAAAGTTCCTACCTGCTCTGGGCTTCAGTTTTTTTCGTTTGTTAAGTGAGAAGTCCGAGTTCACATTTCCAAGGTCACACAGTGAGTGACCAGAAAAAGAAAGAAAGAAAGGAGGGAAGAAAGAAGGGAAGGAAGGAAGGAAGAAAGGAGGGAAGGAAGGAAGGAAGGGAGAAAGAAAAAGAAAAGAAAAACAAATCCCATGTCCACACTCCCTGTCCCAATGAGGTGGGAACAAAACCCAGTCCTCTCAGACTCGGACTGGCCCTGATTTCAACACGTCCCCCTATTTTATATATGGGAAACTGAGGCACAGAGCTGGGAAAGGAATCGCCCGTGCGTGAGAACCGCTGAGCTTGAGAGGCACTTTTGCCCTAGCGTCGTCCCTATGAGCAACATAAACCTTACAGTCGAGCTCTGAACCTGGCATCTGACAGTGCTGGAACTTTCTAGGTGTGTGGCTCTGGCCAAGGGACTGAATCTGTGCCTCAGTTTCCCCATCTGTGAAGCGGAGGGTGCCCATTAGAGGACCCCACGGCTGAGCACTCGGGCACGGGAGCTGATGTGGTCCTGATTTTCTATGCGTGGCCGCAGGTATCACCGCCATGGCATGGAGCGTGGAAGAGAAGCTGCTGGTTGTCGGCACCCAGGATGGCGTGGTGGCCGTGTGGGACACGGAAGAGGAGCAGGTGACTCATATACTAACAGGACACACAGGTGAGGCTTGGGGAGTGGGTGGGCTTTGTCAGCTTCATCATCAGGATAAAGAAGACTTCAATGGAATATTTTAAAACATCAAAATGAATGCAAAAAAATCCACCATGAATAAATGCCAAGCTTTCTTAAAGACAGGATTTTGCCGATAGCGCTGTGCCAAGCCATATGGGAGCCAGGGGCAAAACGGAAGCTCAGTAATTTGGCACCTCCTTCAATTTGGCACCCGAGATGAGCGCCTCACTTGCCTAACCTTAACACTAGCCCAAGTCAGACGCAGGTATTTGAGAAGGCGAAATACCGATTGTAATCAGGGCAACAGGATGTCTGAGCAACAATACTCAAAGTGACCGACTTAGGGCAGTTAGGTAAAGAATTTCTCCCAGCTGGGGATGACTCGGCCAAGGCACAAAGGGTGTGAAGAAAGAAGTGTGTGAAGGGCAGGGGGCTGGGAAGAGGAAGGACCTCGCAGGAGTGGCCAAGCAAGCCCAGGGCAAAGGATGGGGGCAGGGAAAGAAGGCTGGTGTGTTTCTAGAACAGCAAGGTAGCCAGGAGACATTGTATCAAATGAAAGAAGGCAGTCACAAAAGCCCAAGGTCAGTATGATTTGTTTACGCGAAATGTCCAGAACAGGCAGATTCAGAGAGACACAAAACAGATAAGTTGTTGCTAGTCAGGGAGGGAGGGATGGGAAGTGATGGTGCATGAGAACAGGGTTCCTTCTGGGGGTGATGGAAACGTTCTGGAATCAGATAGGGGAGAGGGTTGCACAGCACTGCGAATGCATTAGATGCCCCTGAATTACACAGCCCCAAATGGTTTAAGAGATAAGGAGAGAAAGGGGGAGGGAATGCGAGCTTTTTGAGGCTTTGAAAATACTCTAAATGTAGACTGTGGTGATGGCTTCACAGCTCTGTGACCACACAAAGACCAACGAATTGTACCATTGTACGTGGAATGGGTGAATTTCATGCTTGTGAATGATATTTCAATAAAGATGTTAAAACTGTTTTTATCGTTATGGGGCCTCTGAGTGGCTCAGTCCATCGAGCAACCAACTCTTGATTTTGGCTCAAGTCATGATCCCGGAGTCTTGGGATCAAGCCCTGAGTCAGGCTCTGCATTGAGCATGGAGCCTGCTTAAGAGTCTTTCTTTCTCCCTCTGCCCCTCCCTTACTTGCACATACACACACACTCTCTCTCTCCCTCAAATAAAAAAAATATATATCAATGCAATTTAAGTCTGTACACTGTTTCATAATTTTTTTTCTCAACATTTTGCCATCACCAATCTTTTATTTCCATTGAATCTTTTTTTTATTATTATTATTTTTAGTGTTTTATTTATTTCTAGGACAGAGAGAGAGAGACAGCGTGAGCAGGGGAGAGTAGAGAGAGAGGGAGTCACAGACTGAAACAGGCTCCAGGCTCTGAGCTGGCAGTCAGCACAGAGCCCGACGCCAGGCTCAAACCCATGAACCGCAAGATCATGACCTAAGCGAAAGTCGGACGCTTAACCGACTAAGCCACCCAGGCGCCCCTGAATCTTTTTTTTAAACAATTCTATTGAGGGGTGATTGACATACCATTTCACCCATGCTAAGTGTATAACGCAACAATTTTTAGTAGGTTTTCTGAGTTGTACAAGCATCAACCTAATCCTAGAACTTTCCATCACCCCGAGGAGTCCTCTCTGTGCTGCCTGCCCACTGTGGATAACATCTCTGCTCCCACACCCAGCCCCATGGCAGTCACCGATGTGCTTCCTGGGTCTATCAACTTGAATTTGCCAGACATTCCATGCCAAGGGAATTGCACACTATGTGATCTTTTTGCACCTGCCTGGTGTGCATGAGGCTCACCCTCAGGGCCACCTGTGGCAATCGCTTGTTCTCTGCATGGAAGAGTCCATTCCGTTGTCTGGAAGGAACAGTATTTATCCATTCATCAATTGGACGTCATTTACATTGGTTTGAATTTGAGGCTGTTAAGAACCTTGCTGCTGTGATCCATCTGATACCACATTTATCACGTTTCAACGCAGCAAAATATTTCATTCTTCTCAACAGATCACGTTCCAGAGTGTATTAAATGTTTTTTAAAATTTATTTTATTTCGGGGCGCCTGGGTGGCTTAGTCAGGTGGAGCGTCCGACTTCGGCTCAGGTCACTATCTCACACACAGTTCAGAAGTTTGAGCTCCGAGTCAGACTCTGTGCTGACAGCTCAGAACCTGGAGCCTGCTTCGGATTCTGTGTCTCCTCCCTTACCCCCCCTCCCCCCGCCGCTGCCCCTCTTCTGCTCACTCGGTCTTTCTCTCTCAAAAATAAAAACAAATTTTCTTTTGGTTTATTTTATTTCATTTATTTTTTATTTTTGCTATTTAGGCTATTTCTAGTGTTCTGCTATTATGGATAACACTGCAATGAATCTCTTTTTACTCTCATCAACATTTTTTTCCTGCTGTTGAATATTTCCAGTGAGTAGGAGTCTTAACTGGAGGATATGAGCATTTCTATGGGTTTTGAGAAATGGCATCTTGCATCTTGCTGCCTCCCCAACAGACTGTATATATGTAGCAGAATAACACCCCCTAACCCCACAGCATCAGATGTTCTCAACATATTCTTTTTTTTCCCCCCAGAGCTAGGAGTGAGGTGGGTACTGACAGAGTATCTGTCAGATTCCATTCATTTTATTATCATCAGGATGGCTAGTATCACATAGGTCTGTCCGATATTTGTGTTTCTGTGTGTATGGGCCATCTATTCAGGACCTGAACCCATCTACCCATGGACCTTGATTCATTTTTAAAAAGTCATTGAACTCTTATTATTTGCAATTAGAAAAGTCGGTAATAAGCTTACTGACAAAACGGAGTGTAAAATTTCCCATCACATGCTGGCAAGCTAGAAGTAGTTTGCCATGGCTTGCAACATCTGATTGTGAAGTTCTCAGGAACGTGGTGAGGCAGTGATCAAACACAGCCATTATTAAATACTACAGTATAGACACAGTTAAGTCTATTAAAACAAGATAATATTCAAAACTCATTGCTTTCCTTTTTTTATGTTTATTTATTTATTTTGAGAAAGCAAGGGAGTTCCAGCAGAGGAGGGGCAGAGAGAGAGAAGAGAGAGAATACCAAGCTGAGAGCTCAGAGCCCAACCTGGGGCTTAAATTCACAAGTTGCGAGACCATGACCTGAGCAGAAACCAAGAGTCAGACACTTAACCTTAACTGAATGAGCCACCCAGGCGCCTCAAAACTCATTACTTTCAAAGCATTATACTATACTTTATTACCTATGTGCTTGGCTACCACACCCATTAGGTGGAAATGGGCTGCTACTGAGCTCTCTTCTCAACCTTATATTCAATGAGGTCAGGTTAGTGGCTTGAAATCAAACATGGGGGGGGATATTTACACCAAGGAAATTGACAAAACTCCAGAAAGCAGGGCTTTCCCCAACCCCTTTGGAGAGCCAGGTGTTAATCATTCATCAGCATATTGTTGTTCTAGTCCCTTCCCTGAGCAGGTGTTTGGATAGACACAAATACATACAGTTTTATATTTAGTCCTATAAGCGTTTGCTTGTATGACCTTTTGGTTTTTTCAGTTAACATCACATATTTTGCCTCTTTCCATGTTATGTGTATATCTCTAATTCATTTTAACTGTGACATAGCATTCCACATATGGAGATATTTTGTAACACATTACTACTTATAACACTTTTGGTTGAAAAATACCCAAACCACAACAAATCAAAATTACCCACTGTCCTACTGTCCTTGCAATTATAAAGAAGTAAAACCCCATTTAGTCTCTCCCACCCTTCCGTCTCCATGGAAGTGATGGGTAGTCAGAGTTTGTTAAATGCCGGAAGCAATTTTTTTCTAGGATCATGCAGACATAGCTCTGAATAAGTTCATGTACTTTGAGTTTTTGTCAAAAGCAGATGGTGTTATTTTATGCACTGGGTTATAACTTGCTTTAGTTGCAATATATTGTAGTATATATAACGTAGCAGTTGAGAGCTTGGGTTCTGGGCTGGAATCTGGCTCCGCTACTTATTAATCATGTGGTTTGGGATAAGTTCCTATACTCGGCTGTGCCTCAGTTTCCATATCTATACAATGGGATAATAATAGTACCTAACAGAATTTTTTATGAGATTAAAGGAATTTAATGCATGTAAACTACTAACCACTCTGCCCGGCACACAGAAACCCCTCAGCAAATATTGGCTGTTGTAATAATTTATTACAGTTAGGTGTATATGTACATACCAATCTTATTATTTTTAATGGCCGTGTAATATTCATTATATGGATATACCATATTTTCTAACAACTCGCTTTTCATAAACAGGTCATTTGCAATTTTTATTTTTATAAGACAATGCTGCAATTAACATCCTATATCTTCACACACTTAGGCTATTATTTCTGTAAGACACATTCTTTTTTTTTAATGTTTATTTATTTTTGAGAGAGAGAAAGATAGAGTGTGAGCAGGGGAGGGGTAGAGAGAGAGGGAGACACAGGCTCCACACTCCAAGCTGTCAGCACAGAGCCTGACATGAGGCTCAGATTCATGAATAGTGAGATCTTGACCCGAGCCGAAATCAGACGCTCAACCAGCTGAGCTACCCAGCTGCCCCTCTGTAAGACACATTTTTTTTTTTTAACTGTTTATTTATTGTTGAGACAGAGAGAGACAGAGCATGAGTGGAGAAGGGTCAGAGAGAGAGGGAGACACAGAATCCAAAACAGGCTCCAGGCTCTGAGATGTCAGCACAGAACCTGACACGGGGCTTGAACCCACGAACCGCGAGATCATGACCTGAGCCAAAGTCGGACGCTTAACCGACTGAGCCACCCAGGCGCCCCTGTAAGACACATTCTTAAAAGTGGGATTTCTGAGTCAAATTGTATGCATATTATTCCTTTTTCCCCTTTTTTTTTCCTGAGCATTCTATTTTGAAATAATTCTAGACTCCTAAGAAGTTGCTAAACTAGTGCAGAAAAGTCCTGCGCACCCGTCATGCACCATAGAAATGCTCACACCCTCCAGTTCAAGACTACTACTCATTGGAAATATTCAACAGAAGGAAAAAATGTTGATGAGAGACTTTGCTGTATTCATGGGTCAGTTCTAGCAGTTTTTTGGTAGAATCTTTTGGGTTCTCCATATAGAGTATCATGTCGTCTGCGAAGAGTGAAGGTTTGACCTCCTCCGGGCCAATTTGGATGCCTTTTATTCCTTTGTGTTGTCTGATTGATGAGGCTAAGACTTCCAATACTATGTCGAATAACAGTGGCAAGAGTGGACATCCCTGCAATGTTCCTGACTTAGGAAGAAAGCTCTCAGTTTTTCCCTATTGAGGATGATATTAGCGTCGGGTCTTTCACATATGGCTTTTATGATCTTGAGGTACAGTCCTTCTATCCCTACTTTCTTGGGGCTTTTTATCAAGAAAGGATGTTGTATTTTGTCAAATGCTTTCTCTGCATCTATTGAGAGGATCATGTGGTTCTTGTTCTTTCTTCTATTGATTGTTTTGCAGCTACTGAACCAGCCCTGCATCCCAGGTATAAATCCCACTTCGTCGTGGTGAATAATTTTTTAAATATATTGTTGGATCTGGTTGGCTAGTATCTTGTTGAGGATTTTTGTATCATCTGATGTTCATCAGGGAAATTAGTCTATAGTTCTCCTTTTAAATGGGGTTTTTGTCTGGTTTTGGGATCAAGGTAATGCTGGCTTCATAGAAAGAATTTCAAAGTTTTCCTTTCATTTCTATTTTTTGGAACAACTTCAAAAGAATAGATGTTAACTCTTCTTTAAATGTTGGGTAGAATTCCCCTGGAAAGCCATCTGGCCTTGGACTCTGGTTTTTTGGGAGATTTTTGATTCCTCATTTGATTTCTTTACTGATTGTGAGTCTGTTCAAATTTTCTATTTCTTCCTGTTTCAGTTTTGGTAGTTGATATGTTTCTAGGAATTTGTCCATTTCTTCCAGATCGCCCGTTCTATTGGCATAGAATAGCCCATAATATCAGTTGTTGCAACTTGTAATTTAGTTTTGCCCCATTCCATTCTTTGTAATTTGATTATGATCGGAGCCATCATCTTTTCTTTGGGAAGCCAGAGAATTTCCAAACCAAGAGGCATTTTGGTAGTTGGAAGGTCAAAATGTTTTCAGCTAACGTATTCTCCCTGACGCTGGCCCACTGCAGGAGAGGTGAGGGATGTGAAGGTGTTTGCCAAAGGGACGCTTGCCCTCTCTGCTTCAAAGGACCACACACTACGCTTGTGGCATCTACTGTCCGGCCAGGAGAAATTCACCATTTGGGATGGGGGCTCAAAAGATCCCACTCAACCTGAGACCTGGAGTCTTCACTTGGATGAAACAAAGAAAGTTGTGTATTTGGCAACTGGCTCAAAGGTAAGAAACACCTGCCCCTGTTTGCAAAGGAAAGAGACCAGAGCTTTCCAAGATGGCATATGCTCTTTCTATAAGGAGGGGCTTCCTGATGGGGGTGGGTGTAGATGGGGGTACACAACCACTCGATAGGATGCTATCAGGGGTTTCAAACTTTACAGTTGGATTAGATGATCTTGTTAGTTCTCTCTGAGGCTGAAGAATTGAGAACTTTCATCTTTTTTAACTGGGTCATTTTTAGTGCTATAAATTTCCCTCAGAGTACAGCTTTACCTGTATCCCACAATCCTTGATATGTCATATTACCATTTGCATCCTGTTTAAAATACTTTCAGTCTTCCCTGTTGATTTGTTCTTTACCCCATGGGCCATTTAGAAGTGTGCTATTTGGGACACCGAGGTGGCTCAGTCAGTTAAGCATCCCACTTCAGCTCAGGTTATGATCTCACAGTTTGTGGGTTTGAGCCCCACATTGGGCTCTGTGCTGACAGCTCAGAGCCTGGAGCCTCCTTCATATTCTGTGTCTCCTTCTCTCTCTGTCCCTCCCCAGCTCATGCTCTGTCTCTCAAAAATAAATAAACGTTAAGAAAAAAAAAACTTTTTTTTAAAAAGAAGCGTGTTGGGGCACCTGGGTGGCCCAGTTGGTTAAACGTCCGACTTCGGCTCAGGTCATGATCTCACAGTTTGTGGGTTCAAGCCCTGCATCGAGCTGTGTGCTAACAGCCAGCTCAGATCCTGGAACCTGTTTCAGAATCTGTGTCTCCCTCTCTCTCTGACCTTCCCCTGCTCACACTGTCTCTCTCTCTCTCAGAAATAAATAAAACATTAGAAACATTAAAAAAAAAAGAAGCATGCTATGAATTTCCAGATATGTGAAAGGTTCTCAGATAACTTACATTCCCCCCCCACCAACTTAATTTCATTTGTATGAGGAATCCTTTCAAATGTATTAAGATTCATTTTATGATCTTTTTTTTGGTAAATGTTCTACACGCAACTGAAAATAATCTGTATCCTGCTGTATTATTCTTTTATGTCCATTATAACCCTATGGTCTGATTGCTTTATGAATAGAGACAGACAGAAGAATAGTGAGTGAAAGCTTAGGAGCTAAAGGCTAGGGGAAAAAATCTCCAGCTAACTCCCAGATTTGCAACCTGAGTGATCTTGATCGTATCACCTTACCTCTCTGCCTCCATTCTTCATCTTCCAGATGAGATAATGACTAAAACACTTGGCATGGTGCTTGGTACATAGAAAGCACCAAGTAATTAGTAGCTATTAATTTTTATATTTTATTACTAAATGGCAGTTGTTAATGTAAGTAATATTGGTCCTCATATGGGACAGTAGAGTTTATAAGCTGCCAATATTATTTAAATTGATTTCCCTTGTTTCTTTTTACTTTTTAAAAAATGCTTATTTTATTTTATCATCCAAAGCAGGCTCCAGGCTCTCAGCTATCAGCACAGAGCCGAACGCGGGGCTCAAACCCACGAACTATGAGATCATGACCTGAGTCGAAGTTGGATGCTTAACAGACTGAGCCACCCAGAGGCCCCTAAATGTTTATTTTATTTTTGAGAGAGAGAGAGTGAGCAAACACATGCCCCGGCGCACAAGCAGGGGAGGGACAGAGAGAGGAAGACAGGGGATCTGAAGCAGTCTCTGAGCAGTCAGCAGAGAGCAGGGTGTGGGGCTCGAACTCACGAACCATGAGATCATGACCTAAGACTGAGCCACCCAGGCGCCCTTCTTACTCTTTTAAAAGTGACTAATAAAAAATGCAATGCCACATACAACTTGACTTATATTTTTACTGACAGTGTGGGCTTAAATATCAGAGAGGTGTTGATTGATTTCAAAACTGGTTAAAGACATCATTTGTTATCAGCATAAGTTTGGAAAATACAGTAAAGAAATAAGAAATAATAAATAATCGCTAAAACAACCACTGTTAACATTACATGATTTTATTTTATGTGGTATGTGCGTGTCCATATATATACACGAGTGTATATATTTCACAAAATGGGGATAAAAATCATACATAAAGCTATTGATGCAGTTTTATAAATCTATTTTTATTTGTCCATGACCTTAAGCATTCTTCAGAAACCGCGTGCTTAGCAACTTTGTAAGATTTCCTTGCATGATTCCACCGTAATTTATTTAACTGATCCCTTACTACTGGACAGATAAGTCGTTTCCAGTTTTTTGCACTTTCAAATAACTGAGGCAACTTTCCTTCTACATAGATCTTTGTATCTCTCTGTATTTCTTTAAAGTAAACCCGAGGGGCGCCTGGGTGGCTCAGTCAGGTAAGCATCTGACTTCGGCTTAGGTCATGATCTCATGGTTTGTGAATTTGAGCCCTGCATCCTGTTCTGTGCTGACAGCTCAGAGCCTGGAGCCTGCTTCTGATTCTGTGTCTTCCTCTCTCTCTGCCCCTCCCTTGCTCGCACTCTCCCTCTCTTGAGAGTAAATAAACATTAAAAAACTTTAGAGTGCACCCCAAGAGTAGAATTAATGGGCAAATGTTTACTATTTAAATGGTTACTGTCGATTTAAAAAGGTACTTTTTCTGGTGAGGTTAAATATGAAACGCGCTAATCAGTGATTCCTTGAAGCGAACACATATGTGAATGTAGACGGCGTGGCTGCCTCTGCTCCCATTTGTAAGATGGTCACTTTGGAAAAATTTTTAGATTAGTGGAAAAGTGATAACGCTATCAGAAAGGGTTCCCATATGCCCTTCTTGTTCATCTCTTGTAATATCAACATCTCGCATAACCAGGGTCCATTTGCCCCAGCTAAGCCGTTAACCTTGGTAATTTCTATCAGCCTCACTCAGACTGTGCTTGGATTGCATCAGTTTTTCCACAGCTGACCTTTTGCAGCCCCCGGATCTAATCCAGGACACCTCTCCTGTCTGCCTCTTTTCAGTGCTACCAGGGTTGAAAACAAAACGCACGCACCACGAAAGAGCGTGGGTTTTGCGTTTGCTTCTGGAAAACCCGCAACCCAGGTCTCTCACTGAGATTTCCCTTCCTGTTCACGACTCCAATAGGTCAGTGCGTGGAACCTAGAAACCGCACAACTGGTATTCCGCATCCCGGGAGACCCCTCCGACGGCTGGCTGCTCACCGTAGCGCTGGCTTCCCGGGCCGTGCTGCTCACCGTGTCGCAGCGTGGCGTGGTCAGTCTGTGGAGCTCAGCCACAGGGAAACCGCAGGGGAGGCAACCTTTATCTGGGATCAAGGAGGAAACACCTACCTGCGGGGTCTCGGTCCAGAAGCAAGGGAAGATGGTCACCGGGTTTAGCAAGGGCTCCATCTGTCTGGTAAGCCTCCGTCCTGAAAGGGGGGCGTCCGCCTGGCTTGGCTCCAGAGTGCTCAGAGGTCCTAGAAGTTGGGAGAAACCACTTCACCTCTGATTATTTATGTTTTATTTTAGTTTTGAGAGAGAGAGAGAGACACAGAGAGTGAGCAGGGGAGGGGCAGAGAGAGGGAGGCGCAGGATCCGAAGCAGGCTCCAGGCTCCGAGCTGTCAGCACAGAGCCCGACGCGGGGCTCGAACCCACAAACCATGAGATCATGACCTGAGCCAAAGTCGGATGCTTAACCGACTAAGCCACCCAGGCGCCCCTGCCTTTGGTCTTCTCCTAAACGACATTGGGCTTCTTAATTCTAGGGATTTGCAACTCAGTGGGTTCAGGAAACATCCCTTGGTGCGTCCCGGAGACTGGCCAGTGCAGGTTGCCGTTGGCACTTGGTCCTGACAAAAATGTCTCCAGACATTGCCAACTGTCCTTGGCCAGCGAGGGCGGCACAAAACTGCCCTCCCCACCTCTTGAGAACCACTGTCCCAGACACGTTACATGAAAAAAGCAAACTTGAAGAACAGTATCTGTGATAGATGGTGCAGAAAAGGATGGTCGTGTAAATGCTCGTCTGTACAAGCAGGTACTCAGCAAAGTAGGTGACGGTCCCTGATGGGGAGAAGGGAGAACGGCAGGGAAGGTGGAGCAGTGTTCGTGTGTGCTCTGAATACTTCTTTTTTTCCTATTTTATACGGTATTGTTTAATTTTTTAAGTTTTAAAAGAATTTTTTTTTTACTCAGTAGTTTAAAAAAATCAACGGGGGGGGGGGCACCTGGGTGGCTCAGTCAGTTAAGCATCCGACTTTGGCTTAGGTCATGATCTCACGGTTTGTGGGTTTGAGCCCCACGTCGGGCTCTGTGCTGACAGCTTGGAGCCTGGAGCCTGTTTCAGATTCTGTGTCTCCCTCTCTCTCTGACCCTTCCCTGCTCACGCTGTCTTTCTCTCTCTCAGAAATAAATAAAACATTAAAACATGTTTTTAAAAATAAAAAATAAAAATATCAATGGTAATAGCCACAAGGAAATTCATTTCTCCTGCCCCTGCTAAATGAAGGTGAATAAATTCTTTTAAAAAAAATATTGGCTTTGGGGCGCCTGGGTGGCTTAGTCGGTTAAGCGTCCGGCTTTCGCTTAGGTCATGATCTCGCGGTTCGTGGGTTCGAGCCCCGCGTCGGGCTCTGTGCTGACTGCCAGCTCAGAGCCTGGAGCCTGCTTCAGCGTCTGTGACTCCCCCTCTCTCTCTGACCCTCCCCTGCTCGCGCTGTCTCTCTCTCTCTCTCCTAGAAATAAAACATTTAAAAAAATAAAAATAAAAAATAAAAGATACTGTCTCAGCTAAGACCCGAGTTGATCAGTACTANACTTTCGCTTAGGTCATGATCTCGCGGTTCGTGGGTTCGAGCCCCGCGTCGGGCTCTGTGCTGACTGCCAGCTCAGAGCCTGGAGCCTGTTTCAGTCTGTGACTCCCTCTCTCTCTGACCCTCCCCTGCTCACGCTGTGTTTCTCTCCTCTCCTAAAAATAAAAAAAATAAAAAATATTGGCTTGGATTGGTGCAAATAACTCACTTTTCTTGGCCACTCTGTGTCCCTTCTGTGCCCCTCAAAGATATTGAACATCAAGTTTTTGGCTCACAGCCTGGTGTCTATCAGATGCTCAAAAACCAGTAGCTGAGAAACTAGCATTGCACAGTATATAAACTAAAGACAATTTAAATTTAAAAAATAATCAGTAGCTGAATTGGGGCCGCAGGACTAAGGAAAGAACCATCCTCTTAGATCTGAACAAAATCAGTCCTGTAACTCGCGAATGGGGAGGAACCAGTGTTTTAATCTTATTTGAGATCGCCAGAGCTCCTCTGGGAGCAGGAAACAAGTGCTGGAATGTTTTCCAGGTGCCTGAGCTGGTCCAAAAACAATATTGACAATATTGTTGCAATAATAGTAGCTGCCATGTTGGGAGGGCTGACTGTGTGCAGGTCAGGGGTTGGGGGGGGAACCATTCTGCACGATTCTTAGCCCATGATGGTCCCACGCAGTCAGCCTCTATCATCGCCCATTTAACAGATGTGGAAACAGAGGCACCCAAGGGCTAAGGAATTTGCTTAGAAGCTGGTGAGTGGCAGAGCCTTGAGTCCAGGCTCCTGACCCTGGACCCTTAATCCTGCGGAAATGCTTGATGGGCACCCTTGACTTTGCACAGATTTCCCCCGAAGGAGACAGCCTGCTGGAGAAGCTTCCAGAAGCTGTGAGGTTCCTGATAGTCTCTGAAGACGAGTCCCTTCTCGCTGCAGGTAATGTCTAACTATTATTCGGAGCCATGGTGGGGGCGGGGGGGGGCAACTCTGGATTTTGTTGGAAGTGGAGAGGGGTTTGGGGTGAGGCAGGCAGTCCTACACCCGTGGTTGGCAAACCTTTTCTGCCAAAGGCTGCAGACCCATGGCCTCTGTCACACCTGTAACGTGAAAGCCTCCACAGGTGATATTTCAAGTGGGTGTGGCTGTGTGCCACTAACACTTTGCTTGTGGATGCCCAAATTTGGGTTTCGTGTCATTTTCATTGGTCACAGAATAGTAATCTTATTTTTATTTTTTCTTTCACTATTTAAAATTGTAAAAACTGTCCTTCACTCCTGGGTCACACAGAAATGGATGCTGGGCCAGTTTGGGCCAACGGGCTGTAGCTTGCTCCGTTTAGGGCAAATCTAACCTTTCTGCACTTCTGGTTCGTTATCGTTGAGATGAGGGCGCTTATCCCTGCCGGATGGTCACGGGGATTAAGGGGTGCTGCATGAGAGGATGGGGTGCTCTCAGGGGGGAGCTGGCCCCCACAACCCCTGCTTTTAGGGGCTTCTGAGCCAGCAGGAAAGGTGGACAATAAGGTAGCCGCAAAAGAGCGGTTGGTGCTATAAGCAGACAGGAATCACCGTGAGCAATTCTGTCAGCAACAGCATGTGACAACGATGCTGACCGGGGAAGTTCACCCAGCCTTGGCGGCCATGATTTTTCCTGGGGGTTGGTTATGGAGACACAGCTGAGCTCCTGCCCTGCCCACGACCTCAGTCTCCCAGCACCCACTGAGGTCAAGCTGATACTGTGTGTCCCAACGCTCCTACTGTAAGTCACACGTGATCAGTGGCCACCCTGTGTGGCCCAAGGCCTCAAGTAAAACAAGGACACTTTTTTTTTTTTAATGTTTTATTTATTTCTAGGAGAGAGAGACAGCGTGAGCAGGGGAGGGTCAGAGAGAGAGGGAGTCACAGACTGAAACAGGCTCCAGGCTCTGAGCTGGCAGTCAGCACGGAGCCTGACGCGGGGCTCGAACCCACGAACCACGAGATCATGACCTAAGCGAAAGTTGGAAAGTCGGACGCTTAACCGACTAAGCCACCCAGGTGCCCCAAGGACACTTTTTTTTTAAACGCTTATTTTTGAGAGATAGGGAGAGAGAGCGCGAATCGGGGGAGGGCAGAGATGGAGGGGGATGGAGGATCCCACGCGGGCTCTGTGCTGATGTGGGGCTCAAACTCACGAACCGCAGGATCCTGACCCAAGCCAAAGTCGGAGGCTCAACTGACTGAGCCCCCCAGGCACCCCCTCAAGGACTTTTTAAAAAAATTTTTTAATGTTTTATCCATTTCCGAGAGAAAGAGACAGCGTGAGCAGGGGAAGGCCAGAGAGAGAGGGAGACGCAGAATCAGAAGCAGCCTCCAGGCTCCGAGCCGCCAGCACAGAGCCCGACGTGGAGCTCGAACCCACGAACCGTGAGATCATGACCTGAGCCAAAGTCAGACGCCCAACCGACTGAACCACCCAGGCGCCCCCTGAAGGACATTTTTATCAAGTAGGATGTTCCAAGGGCTTAGAGGGCACCTCTCAGGAGCCCGGCAGGGGCCAAACCATTCGTGTGCAGGATGCACAACCCAGGCCTGCTGAGTTCATCCTTTCCAGCACACGAATGGCGTGCAGACATCCTGGGACAGCAGATCTCCTGATGCACTCGATCCGTTTCCCATAACATCTTTCTGTGTGAGCCACAGGTTCAAGGATAGTTCAATAAAACAATGGCCTGGAGGGCCTGGAGAGGCAATAAGGTGGACCGACAGCCCCCAGCGGACTTGACTCGGGCTTCCAGGAGTTGAAACTCGGCTAGTGCAGGCCAGTTGCATAGCACAGAGTCCCACACCATCCCTCCGGGTGTCCTAGCCTCGGAAGACCCGCGTGATGCACTTTCCTGCACTGCTGGGGGCCCTCTTAACAAAACACGTTCACCCCCCCATATTCGGAACACAAATGAACAAGCCCCCTTGGGTGGGGTGCCCGGTAAAATATAGGACACCCAGTTAAATTTCAGGTAAGCAACAAATCAGCTTTTCAGTATAAATATACGCCATGCAATATCTGGGATATACTTATGCTAATAATAACAATTTCACTGTTTATCTGAAATTCTAATTCAATGGAATTGTCCTGTTGGGTGTTTTGTTTTGCTTTGTGTTAAATCTAGCACAGCTCTCCCCCCGGTCCTCACCCCTTCCTTCACTCTGCTGCACCCACACTGGCTTCTGTGCTGCGCCTGAGACTGGCCTTTCCTACCTCCTGGTCATCCCAGGCTGTTCCCACCCTTCCAGGGCCTGCCCCCTTCTCAGATGTCTGCTCAAAGGTCCTGTGGTCACTGTAACAAACTACCACATAAATATGGTGGCTTAAAACAGTAGAAATCTCTTTCCTCACAGTTCCAGAGGTCAGAAGTTCAAAATCAAGATGTGGGCAGGGGTGCCCCGGTGGCTCAGTTGGTTAAGTGTTCGACTCTTAGTTTCCACTCAGGTCATGATCTCACGGTTCGTGGGTTTGAGGCCCACATTGGGCTCTGTGCTGATGGTGGGGAGCCTGCTTGGGATTCTCTCTCTCTCCTTCTCTCTACCCCACCCCCTGCTNCGTCAGGCTCTCTACTGACAGCTCAGAGCGTGAAGCCCGCTTCAGATTCTGTATCTCCCTTTCTCTCTACCCCCCCCCCCCCCCCCCCCCCCCCCCGCCGTCAAAATACATAAGCTTTAAAAAGTTACTCAAAATAAATAAACAAACAAATAAATAAATAAAGGTGGACAGGGTCATAGTCCCTCCAAAGGCTCCAGAGAAGAATCCTTTCTTGCCCCTTTTAGTTTCTACCTTGTGATTTTTGACTTGTGGCCACATTTCTCTGGTTTCCGCCTTCGTGCCTTCTCCACGGCGCACGTCTCTGTGTCATTTTTTTCTCATGGCGGCCTGTCCCCTGACATCATTGGCCTTACCGCAGACTGTAACTGCTTTCTTGTCCTTCCTATCCTTCTCCCTCCCCCCCTCCCCCCACTTCCTTCCCTCCATCCTCAAAGCATATCTACATTGTGTGCAGCTTTGTGCTGCGTCCCGGGAAACCCAAACAGGCAATCCCAGCCTTCTGGAAGCTCTTGTGATAATAAATAACTTTGCTGTTTTCTGCAAGGTTATTGATCACTGTTGGCAGCGCCCAGCCCGCCCCCCCCCCCGACAACTGTAGGCTACGCGCTGGGGGGGCCGTGTCTCTCTTGTTCGCAATGGTGTGTAGTCAGTGCTCGAAATAATCTTTGTTCACCGAACTGAATTTCCGCCAAGCTCCTCCAGGAATGAAAGGGATAATCCCATCCCTGCCGTTTCAGGGTTTGGAAGGTCCGTGCGGATATTCTTGGCAGATTCAGAGGGGTTTCATCGATTCATGGCCACCGACCTTGAACATGAGGACACCGTGGAGACAGCCAGTTTTGGTCCTGAGAACAATCTGATTGTCACTGGGTCCCGGGACGCACTCATTCAGGTCAGAGGTCATCCTCACTCCGCCTCTGGAATCCAAAAGAATGATTCCTTCGAGGGTCTTTTGGCTTTGCAATACAGAGATTCATAGAAACTAGCGCGACAAAATGGGGCAGGTCACTGGGAAGATGTGGGGGAGGGGCCCACCGAGACCCAGGAAGGAGATAATAGCATTCCCACAGAACCTGAAAAACGGGGAGGATTTTCGCCTTCAGAGTGGAGCAGGGTTGGGAGGAAGTGGAAGAAAATTCCCACTGAGTTCAAAGTTCTCCCTGTGGTAGGAAAATTATGTGATAAAGAGCAGTTCTCTAATGTTCTGGCCTTCGGAGCTCCTTCAAGATGTGGGTTATATCAATTTGGTTTATATATTTATGTATTTGAACAAATGATTTATTTGAGGAATAGTTTAAGGATGTACAGAAGAGTTGCCAAGCAAGTGCAGAGAGTCCCTGTATTTATATATATCTACTCTACACCCAGCTTGCCTCGACATTAACAACTTATGTTAGCCAAGCCCTTTATCAAACTAAAAAGTGTATATTGGGACAATACTATTAGTAACTGATCTGCAGACTCTGTTCTAGTTCCACCAGCTTTCCCACAAACGCCCTCTTTTTCTTTATTCTGGGATCCAATCTAGGATCCTATGTTGCCTTTAGTCTCCCCCCGGTAATTACCATATTACACATTAGAGATGAGGAAATCCGAAAATACTTCTCCCTTGATTCATGAACATTACATGTCAATGTAATAACACACGTTTATGAAAATCCTATAGTTTCTGAAACAAGCAAAACTCAGGAGAAGAGTGGCATGATTATGCATTTTGACAAATCTCTTTCATGTTTGGCTCGATAGGAGACCATTGGCTTCTCGTATTCAATTCTGTATTCTCTGGTCTGGTGTAACTCCACCACTCACTTGTGAGAGGAAGAGAGTAGGAAAGGCAATGGTATCTTGAATTACGATGAGGGGCACCTGGGTGGCTCAGTTGGTTGGGCGTCTGACTTTGCCTCAGGTCATGATCTCACGGTTTGTGGGTTGGAGCCCCACGTCGGGCTCTGTGTTGACAACTAGCTCAGAGCCTGGAGCCTGTTTCGGATTCTGTGTCTCCCTCTCTCTCTGACCCTCCCCTGCTCACGCTGTCTCTCTCTCTCTCTCTCTCCAAAAAATAAAAATAAAAAATTGAAGACATTGAATTACAATAAAAACCATTAGATGCCTAGAGGTACCTTCCAGGGGTTCCCTGGAACACACTTTGAGAACCACTGTGGTAGTGGCTTGGTGAGGAATGGGGAAGTTTGAGGGGGCAGAGAAGGCCCTTGAACTGCAGCCTGAGGACCCACCATGGGTGGACAAATGGGTTTCTGCATATTTCTTAGCTATGACAGTATAAGAAAGAAGTCAGCTCTGGCCCTCTGCTGTGCGTCTTCAGGTGTGGAGTCTGTCGGAACAGGGGACCCTGCAGGATGTTCTGGAAGGCGTCGGGGCCCCTGTGAGCCTGCTGGCCTGGGGCGGGGCCTTGGTGGCATCTGCTTCCCGGCAGTCCTCATCTTGTAAAGTCTGGGACCTCACGTCTGCTGAGAAGCCGAGGGCCTGTACTCCATTTCTGGATCGCACTGGCCTCACCGCAGTGTCACACAACGGAAGCTACGTCTACTTCCCCAAGACTGGGGACAAGAACAAAGTCACCGTTTGGGACTCAGCGGAAGGTGTGTAAGAGACGAGCACGGCCGTTTGTGTGGGAAGCCCGTCTGGGTCTGCTGGGGTTATTGTAACCAGACACCATAGACTGGGTGGTTTAAAGAACATTTATTTCTCACGATTCTGGAGGCTGGGAAGGCCGAGGTCAAGACGCTGGCGGATCTGTATCTGGTGACAGCCGGCTTCCTGGTTGCAGATGGCCTCTTTCTCATTATGTCCCTGAACACAGAGAAGGAAGCAAGCCTTCCCGTCCCCTGTATCAGGGCACTAATCCCGTCGTGGGGGCTCCGCCCTCAGGACCTAAAGTCACCCCCAAAGCCTCCCGGCCGACACCATCACATTGTGGGCTAGGATTTCGACCTGTGAATCTGGGGGGACACATTCCGTCCGTAACACCCCCATAACTCCAGTCAGGTTGACAGTAGCTAATAGAAATCAGGACTAGATTGGATAAATTTCCAGCCTGTGGGTAATTGACCATCTGGGTGTCAATCCCTGTTTTGGTTCGGGTTTCCTGGACATGATGGGGATGTTTGCACGAGGGGTGTGTTGAGGGAGAAACCTGAGCAGGGGTGAGCCAAGCAGGCAGGGGGAGGGGGAGGGCTGGGCGAGGAGGTGGGCTCAACCTGATCCTACAGGGGCCCGGAGTATAAATTGCACCTGTTCCATCGTGAAGCAAGAGGTCTAGTCTTTTGTGTACCCACATCAGGCCGTCACTGGCTGCAGGCACGGCCCCCCAAGCATTTTGAGATGAGGGGCTCCCTTCACCTGAGGGCCTTCGATCTGGGTACCCAGGCCTGTAAAGGGGGTCTGGACGCGTCACCAACTGTGTTTGCTGTAATCTCCATGGGGGTGGATGGAGGTACAGAAATCCCTTGTTAATGGTAATATGAGAAAAGAGATTCACTCTCAGCTTCCCGCTTTCATGGATTTGGCAGATGTTGGTTAGTGCTGGCCACGGGGCCAGGCTCTGGGGTTGACAGTGAGCAAGACCAATGAGGTGACAGTGCTTGAGGCTCTTGTGCGCTAGTTGAGGGGCGGAGCCCAACACAAAGTCATGGGGCACGGTGGAGAATGACACACAAGCCCGCAAACTGAAGCCCGTGGGCCAGATCGGACACACTGTGTGTGGCTTGTTGGGGGCTCCAACCTCAGGGTTAAGTGGTTAAGGGTTAAGAGCAGACAGCCTGCAAGGCAAAAATAGTTACTCTCCAACCCTTTACAGATGTTTGTAAATGCCCGGGATGGGAGATCATGCATGTCCACACGTCCGCTTGTCCCGATGAGTGTTAAGCAGGGTGGTGGGGAACACGGATGACGAAGGTGGTTTTTAAAACCCTTAAAAATAAGAAAACTGTGACGCAAGCCCGTTCCTCTGAGCTGTTCTTGATGCGACCTTCTCTCCATGTCAGGTGAGGAGAAGGACGCCCTGGACACCTCCAATGAGGTCAGGTGCCTGGAGGTGGCCCAGCAGGCCAATCTCCTCTTCACCGGCCTCGTTTCGGGGGTCGTCCTGGTGTTCCCCCTGAATTCCAGACAGGACGTGATGTGCATCCCCCCTCCCGAGGCCCGGAAAGCCATCAACTGCATGGCCCTGAGTCAAGGCGAGGAGCACCTGGCCATCGCCTACGACAGCATCGTCCTGGTGCTGGACATCAGCCCCGGGGACCCCTGTCCAGTTATCGACGGGCCAACATACACCTTCTACACCCAGTTGCCCGAGACCATCTCCAGTGTGGCCGTCCTGGCTGACTACCGTGTGATCTACGGCATGACCAACGGCGACCTCTTCCTTTACGAGTGCGCCAATTCCAAAGTGTTCCCTCTGGAGGCTCATGGGAGCCGGGTCACCTGTGTGCAGGTCAGCCACAAGGAGCAGCTGGCGGTCAGCGGATCCGAGGAGGCCCTGCTGTGTCTCTGGGACTTGCAGTCCTGCAAGTGGAAATTCGAGATAAGCTGCACGGTGCGTGGCTCACGCCGCGTGCCAGCGAGGTCCCGGTGCTAGAAAGCCGATGACAGGTGTCCTGTAGTAAGCGCACCCCGTGTGCCATCGCCCAGAGTCAGGAGCAGGGTGAGGCCAGTGAGAGGCACTCGCCTTGGGAGCAGAGCTTAAGGGGCTGCCAAAAAACCTCGGCAATCAAGAGAGATGCTATTTTAATGCAATGTTTACAAAAATCGAAACAATTTTTCGATGCAAAAAATACCCAAAAGAACAAAATATATTTAAAAAAAAATTTTTTTTTTGAGAGAGAGTGTGAATAGGGGAGGGGCAGAGAAAGAGGGAGACAGAGGAATCCGAAGCAGGCTCAAACTCATGAACTGTGAGATCATGACCTGAGCCGAAGTCGGACACAACCGACTGAGCCACCCAGGCACCCCAAGATGTCATTTTAAATAAAGACAAGATCAGATCCTGTACGACACACCCCTGCTTCACCATCTTTACCCTGATCCTTATAGCCATTCTTGCGCCCAAGAGTTTTGATTTCTAGCTGTGGCCAGGGCGCACACACCAACCCAGCTCACGGAGCCACGTTCTCAGAGGGGAGATAGTGTGAGCTCTGTGAGGGCTCACAGAGGTGAGAGCTTTTGTGTTTTGCTTCCTGAAGTGGCCCTCATCCCTAGGAAAGCTCCCGACTGGTCCTCAGGGCTCAACAAATATTTGTGGAATAAAAACAAAGTAGCAAATACATGATGGGGCAGCGAGCAACAAGAGCTTTGAGGAAAAATAGGGCAAGGTAAAGGGGGTAGAGCCTGCTATTTCAGAAGGTCAAATGAGTCTGGAGGAACAGCATTCTAGGCAGAAGGAACAGCAGTTGTGAAGGCTCTGAAGAGGGAAACTGGCAGCTCACTCCCTAACATCGGGAGCATCTTAGAGTCCACACTCCACATCCCAGAAGGAGCTGTTATAATCTTTTGTATCAGGAGAATTAAGAGCTGCAATAAATATATTCATATTATATATTATATAAATATATCCTTCTATAATTTAATCCCGACAACGATCTTACACGGTTGGTGTTAACTATTCCAGCTTTTCAAATGGGGAATGAAGACTGTACCTGTGGTTGTAAGATGTAGAAATTATTCATACACATGGGGAGATGATCTTGTAACTAAGAGAGAGAGGATGGATAGTTTCGTCTTAAACGGCTTTCATCCTGGGGTGCCTGGTTGGCTCAGTCAGTTAAACGTCCGATTTTGGCTCAGGTCATGATCTTGTGGGTACGAGCCCCACATTAGGCTCTGTGCTGACAGCTCAGAGCCTGGAGCCTGCTTCCAATTCTGTGTCTCCCTCTCTCTGTCTCTTCCTCAAAAAAAAAAAAAGAAAAAATTTAAAAAAAAAGAGGCTTTCATCCCATCTGACATTTATTTTTATGGAGCTATTCTAAGGCTGGGCTGTAAGTAATCTTTTGTCTTGTTGAATGGGAAATACCACTACAGCAGTTACATACACCTAGCTTTTTGTTTTTGTTTTTTAATTTTTTTTACTCTTTATTTTAGAGAGAGAGGGAGGGGTGAGAGGCAGAGAGACTCTTACGCAGGCTCCGTGTGGAGCCTCCTCAGGGCTCAATCCCATGACCCTGGGATTGTGACCTGAGCCGAAATCAAGAGTCAAATACTCAACTGACTGAGCCACCCAGGCCCCTGTTTTTTATTTACTTATTTATTTATTTATTTCCTGGTTTTGTTTTTCAAATTTTAATATTTTGTTTTATTTTTTTAATATAATTTATTGTCAAGTTGGTTTCCATTAGAACACCCAGGGCTCATCCCCACAAGTGCCCTCCTCCATGCCCATCACCCCCTTCCCCCCATTTTTGTTTTTAAATAAACTTAATCTTGGCATGATTTTAGGTCTACAGAGAAGTTGTAAAGATAGTACAAAGGTTATCCTCTACACACTCCTCACCCGGCTTCCCTGCTGTTGACATCTTATGTGACTAGAGCACATTAGTCAAAACTAAGAAGTTACCACGGGGACAGTACTGTTAACTAAGGTACCAAGTTGATTAGGTTCATATGTTTTTCAACGAATATCCTTTTTTTTTTTTTTCTCTAGGACTAGGATGCCATACTGCATTTAGCAGATAGCATTTAATTAAAGACCATTATAGCTGGGGCGCCTGGGTGGCTCTGTCAGCTGAGCATCCAACTTCAGCTGAAATCACGATCCCATGGTTCATGAGTTCAAGCCCCGCATTGGGCTCTCTGCTGTCACTGCAGAGCCTGCTTGGGATCTTCTGCCCATCTCTCTCAATCTCTCTTTCTTTCAAAAATAAATATACATTTTTTAAAAAAAGACCCTTATAGCTAATGCTTTTATAGTGGGGTCACTTAAGAAATTAAAACTGATAATACCTGCTCTCCAAGCAAAATGCCTGTAAAGCTCTCAACCCAGTCCGTATGAAGACGTGTTTTGGCCCTGGGAATATTGGCCCCTGAGATCTGTCCAAGGTTTCATTGGATCCGTTTCCCTGGAGGGCTTACAAGCTTGGCTTCCTATGCAGATGCCTTGGGGTGGGTCCCCTGGGTGACTTTCAGTTTGAAATCCAGATCACCTTGTCTTTTTTTCTTAATGTTTTATTTATTTTTGAGACAGCCAGAGCATGAGTGGGGGAGTGGGGCAGAGATAGAGAGACAGACAGACAGACTCCAAACCGGCCCCAGGCTCCCAGCTGTCAGCACAGAGCCCGGCGCGGGGCTCGAACTCACAAACTGAGCCGAAGCCGGACGCTTAACTGACTGAGCCACCCAGATCATCTTGTCTTTTTCAACAGAATTCTTACTGTAGAGGAGTCCAGTGTGTCTGCTTCTCCAAAGATGACAAGTACGTGTACGCAGGCTTGAAGGATCGCTCCATAATCGTCTGGAGTGTGCTGGATGGTGAGTCATTTTGCTTTGAGGGCAAGGCCGAGCTGAGATCTGGAGAGGAATGCCGTGTTTGGGCTCTGCTCTGGTCTCCCCTAGCTGGGTCCCTCTGCTTAGAGAGGTATCTGGAGGTCACGAAGACAGCCCCCTCCCATCTCTTCTAGATCCATGCTCTGGGTACCTGGAACATTCTCCCCATGGGGGATGGTGCCCTCTTTAGGACCTGGACAGCTCTCTTCTCCAGGTCCATCCTTCTGAGGGTGGACTCTGCCTCTAGTGTGAGCACCCCGAGACTTGGGGGTGGCCACGGGATGATGAGCGTGGAGTCTGGGTGCATGAGCTGGGTAGGCGTTTCACATGCGTATGTGTGAGGCCCCCAGGAGTGCAGGATAAAGCTGAGTGTGGATGGAGAAGAGGGCCAAGCCACAAAGAGCTGGGCTCTCACACACTGTTACATTCCAGTGTAGAACTGATGAACCTGAGAATTCTCGACCCAACATGACCTTCCAGGTGGCTCTGGAGGTACAGATAGAGCATATTTCACTGAATAGTTTATTATCTAGATTTCCGACATGTACACATTGTGCCTTATAGGATGTGGGCCCTGATTTCCTCTTGCCCCAGGCCCCGTAACTGATAGGGGCGACTTGCTTAAGACCAACCATTTTGAAAACCTCACATCCCTTAGTCTGGTCAGTATTACCGTAAATGCATATTAATGAGAGTGAGCATTTCTTGTGTACTGTTACTGGGCCATGTAATTCTCTTGAAAGCCACCTCGTTCTACAGGGCAAAGATTGAGGCTCTGAGAGGTGAAGTGTCCTGCCCAAGGTCACACAGTGAGGCTGGTCTGCCTGATCCCCATGGTCACCTTTGTCATCCTCCTACAGAATCTTCTATAAAGAAGGGAACCCTCATGACACTGGGCAGGGCGTACGTGCCATTGCTACCCCCATGCGACAAGTTCAGGGAGGTTAAGAGATTTGTCCAAGGTCACAAAGCAAGTAAGTGGGTGAATGGATATCAGGCAGACTGGAATACATCGTAGTCAAATCCAATGCAATCCAGGGGAGTGTAGTTTCATCCTTGGGGGCGGAGATGCCTGGTTAAAAAAAGTTACAGATGGCTTTGACCCTGAGGTCTGTGGATTGTGGCCTTCAAGCCCAGCCTGGGCCAGTTCACAGCCTCTCTTTCTCCTCCTCCTCCTCCAATAATAATATTCACTGAGCTCACTCTGGGCTGAAACCTATACTGAGGCACCTGACACACTCGATGTCTTCGAATCACAGAACTCTCCTTAGCAGGCAGGTTCAGCTCCTGTTCCCATATTGCCCGTGAGGCAGGAGGGACCCCCAAGAGTTTAGACATTGTGTCTTAGCTCGTAAGAGGCATAGGAAGGACGTGACCCATGCAGCCAACTCTCAAATGTGCGAGACTGGATCTCTGTGGCCCCCATGGTCTCATGTGTGCCCTGCCCCCCCCCAAAGGCACCCTGCTGGCTGTCCAGTTTGTTCACGCCGTGGTGAACAGAATCATCCCAACTTCCAACGGCTTCATCGCCCCCACGAGACACGGCTACCTCATCCGCGAGCGTTTCCAGTGCCCTACGTCAAGAGCCTCGCAGCAGGACCCTCTCAAGAACTTCAAGAGGGCAGTGTGGAAGGTCAAATGCAGGCAGAGAGAAGAACTGGCAGCTGTTGTAGGAGGCCTCCAGGACTCGAGATCTGCAAGCGCCCAGGGAAGTGAACGCAAATCGAACAAACGCTCACAGGTCTGCCTGCTAGTATAGAACACGCCCCTCCTCCCCCACCCCACCCCCACCCCCCAATACCCCCACCCCCGCTGTGGGGCAGCGGACTCCAGGGACTTAGCCCCCATTCAGTCTGGCTGAAGCAAAGAGAGTGTACGTGTTGATGTATATCCGGACCCAAAGCCTCAGATTATATGACTCAGACCCTGTTTCACACCATCTTTCCGCTCCTCTCTCCTCCTGTTGGCTGCGTTCCAAGGCCTGCCACCCCCAGGTTAGCAGCACGACAGCCAAGTTCAGTAGAAGAGAGACCTTCCCTTCGCCAGCAGTCTGGACTACGGTGCTGGCCCCGATTCGATTGGCCCAGCGGGCCCATGCACCTGCCTCTGGGAGAATGCAGCGCTGTGACTGGTCGGCCTGATAGCGTGTCCCCAGGGGCTGAGGGTGGAGTCAATACTGCCCAGCCCTGTTGCCCAAGAGTGGGTGGGGGGGCTGCGCCCGGAGAGAAACCGGGGTGTGGTACAGGGCAGAGGGAGATGGACAGATGTAGGACTCCTCAAACCACAGATGTGGACCACAGAGCTTTGTAATGACTTTGGAAAGCATCAGGTGCTATTGTCTGATCCTTATCACAGCCCACACGTCAGGGAGGGTAGGAGTTTCTGCATCCATTTCACAGACAAGGACACTGAGCCTTGGCAGGTAGCTGTGATTTGCTTACGTTCACAAGCCTGGGATGCAGCGGCTCTGAGAGACGAGAGCCAGGAGCTTTCTCGTCTCAGTCCTGTAGGACCACCTCGCTCCAATTTTAGTCTCAGAAACGTGACCTCCTGTACCACAGGTGACACACTCAAACGCCCACGGGGACCAGTGGATAATCTAGATGATCACCAGGGGCCCCGGTGAGCAGCAGAGAGTGGTGGAGACGGTGGGGACTTGTGGAGGACACATGCCTCTGCCCTGGGTGGGCACGGGCACGGGCACCCTGACTCTACCCCAGAATGGCCGCAGGGAACGCAGCTCGTCGGTGCCAGCTTCCTGTCGCTCTAAACAAAGCCAGAAACCCCGACTTTTGCGTCAAATGTTTCCCATTCTTAAAAGTTGACGATTGGCTCAAATTTACCTCTCCAGGCACATTGACCCTGTGTGTCCCTAGTTCAGGAGCTGACTTCATGACTCAAGCCGGCATGAAAATGACAAATTCGTTATATAGTTCTTCCATCCCGACTCCCTGGCTCACAAACTTTCAAGATAAAGATGTTCTTTTATCTTAAAACCTGGCGCCCTTGGCACTGGACGGAAGAAGCTGCAGACATCTCTTCCTGAGCTTTTGGACACATCTCTGCCCCGTGCAAGTTCAACAAATGAACTATTTCTCTTCCACTAAAATGGGTCTTTCTTCTTTGCCCACAACCTTCTGAAAGCCCCACTGGCTTCTGGGGCTTTTGCTATAAAGATAGGAAAGTCCGAACCTCGAAGGTTCTCTTCATGCTATTCCCTCTCTCCACTATCGGATTCCAGACAGCTTCAGAACAAGCAACCTTAGAAACAGAGGCTTTTAAGCTAGGTGTGACCCTATCGACTTTCTTTTTTTTTTTTTTTTTAATGTTTTATTTATTTCTAGGAGAGAGAGAGAGAGAGACAGTGTGAGCAGGGGAGGGTCAGAGATAGAGGGAGTCACAGACTGAAATAGGCTCCAGGCTCTGAGCTGGCAGTCAGCACAGAGCCTGACGCGGGGCTCGAACCCACGAACCGCGAGATCATGACCTAAGTGAAAGCCGGACGCTTAACCGACTAAGCCACCCAGGCGCCCCCTTATCGACTTTCTTATTCAGTAATTTCCCAAAATAGGGTTCTGAGGAGGGCTTTGGCATTTCTGCAGATATTAGTATCAAAGCCCATTTTTTAAAAAATATTTTAAGCCATAATTTAAAAATGCCTGTTCAGCTGGGTTAGGAAGCAGGTTTTAAGGTCACAGAGATAACTAACTTAGGATTCTCCAGAAGATTTTGAGGGGAGCCCTTGAAGAAACAGCAACTCATTTCCAGCTTACTTCTCTGTGAGTCAGGGGCTTTACCCAACGCAGAAATAATAAGGTGGATGTTGTGACAGAGTTAAGATTTCAGCTACAACGTAGGGTTTTAAATGTGTGTGCATCTCAACAGCCTCAGTGAGAATCCATTGTTTTTACATAAATACTAATTTGAACAAAGAAATTTTACTAATAAAATGCTACTCTGAATTGTTGTAATATTGAAGTTTTTGCAGTGAACTTTCATTTGCGAAAGAGTCTGTTCCTATGAATGTTTGACAAACCCTGGGCTTTTTTAATTTTTTATTTTTTTAAATGTTTATTTATGTTTGTTGGGAGGGGGGGAGAAGGAGAAAGAGAGAGAGAAAGCAGGGGAGAGGCAGGGAGAGAGGGAGACACAGAATCCAAAGCAGGCTCCAGGCTCTAAGCTGTCAGCACAGAGCCTGACGTGGGGCTCGAACTCACAGAACATGAGATCATGACCTGAGCCAGAGGCAGGTGCTTAATGGACTAAGCCACCCAGGTGCCCCATTGTCTGACTCTTGATTTCGGCGCAGATCATGGTCTGATGGTTCGTGGGCTCAAGCCCCATGATGGCCTCCACACTGACAGTGAAGATCCTGCTTGGGATTCTCTCTCTGCCCTTCCCCCGCACTCTCTCTCTCAAAATGAATACATAAACTTAAAGAAATTAAAAAAGAAACACCAACCTAAAATAGAGTCACTTGTGCTAAGCCCCGCATTAGCAAACCAAGACTTAATACCTAATTTAATAGCACTTTTAGCCTCTCCCCGACTGTAATCTTAACCAGGAGGTCTGGAATTTCCTGGTTGGCACCAGTGAGGTAATCCACCTGATAGATTCCCTCCACCTCTCTAAAGAAAGATAAGATTATCTGTTTTTTTTCTTGCCCCTTCCTGTCTATAAAATCCTTCCTTTTTTTTTTTTTTTTTTTTTTTTTTTAACAGCTCCTCAGAGCTCCTTTCTGTTTGCTAGACAGGATACTGCCCAATTCATGAATCACTGAATAAAGCCAATGTAGCCTTTAAATTTCATCAGTTGAATTTTGTGTTTTTAAAGCATGGTAATCACAAAGTAAGCATTCTTGGCAAGACCATTTCGTCAAGTATCAGTTACACGTCGCTGCATAACAAAGTACCACAAACTTAGCAGCTGCAAATAACAGCCACGTATGATCTCATCATTTCTGTGGGTTATGAGTCCAGGCTCACTGTGGCTGGTTCTTTGTTTGCTCACAAGAGTCAGCCGGGCTGGTATCTCACTGAGTGACTCACAGCTCTCTGAGCCCATTCAGGTTGTTGGCAGAGTTACGCTCCTTGCTGTAGGACTCTGGACCTCCGCTCCTAGAGGCTGCCTCTGCCCACAGGCACTCATGACATACCTGGGTTCTCCTTCAAGGCCGACAGGATAGTATCTTTCTACTGTTTCAAGGCTCTGACCTCCAGATTGTCCTTTAAAGGTTGCCCTGGGGCGCCTGGGTGGCTTAGTCGGTTAAGCGTCCGACTTTCGCTTAGGTCATGATCTCGCGGTTCGTGTTCGAGCCCCGCGTCGGGCTCTGTGCTGACTGCCAGCTCAGAGCCTGGAGCCTATTTCAGTCTGTGACTCCCTCTCTCTCTGACCCTCCCCTGCTCACGCTGTCTCTCTCTCTCTCTCCTGGAAATAAATAAAACATTAAAAAAAAAAAAAGAATAGTTTAAAAAAAAATAAAAAAAAAAATAAAGGTTGCTCCTGATTAGGTCACGCCCACCAAGACTATTATCCCTTCTCATGAACTCAAAATCAACTCAAGGGGACCTTAAACACACCCGCAAAATCTCTTCACCTTTGCCATGTGGTATGAACTCATCGCAGAAGTGACGTCCTATAGCCTCGCAGGTCCTGCCCACACTCCAGGATGGAATACATATTGGGTGGGAATCTCCAGGCCCGCTTTAGAATTCTGTCACAACGTGTGATTCTGGACTTTAGAGCTTTTGGTCATGAAGTTTGCCATCTGGAGGGGCTTAGATTGGTTCCAAATAGTTATCTTTTGATCTTGTCTTTTTAACCTAGCCAAAATACTGTTCAGAGAAGACCTACCTATGAATCTTACCATAATGCTATTAGGTTTGTGAAACAGTAAGGAAATTAGTGTTGGTCTAGCAAAACTGCCAATGTTGAGTTTTCATTTAATCTGTGTGAGATGAGAACCGCAAAGGACTTAGCATTTTTTTAAATGTTTATTTATTTTTAGAGAGAGACAGACAGAGTGCAAGTGGGGGAGGGGCAGAGAGAGAGGGAGACACAGAATCTGAAGCAGGCTCCAGGCTCTGAGCTGTCGGCATAGAGCTGGACGCGGGGCTCGAACCCACGAACCGTGAGATCATGACCTGAGCCAAAGTTGGAGGCTTAACTGACTGAGTCACCCAGGTGATGCAGAGTTTAGCATTTTTCACGCTTTATAAAAACAAGAAGGAAAGAGGTCTGTGGACGAAAAATGTCCCGTACGTGCTCGCACAAACACCCAAGGTGAAATTGGCTTGGTGGTTTCCTGTTCTCTGAGTGAGGGCTTCCTCAGGGAGATCTGTAAAAAGAATGGAAACCTAAAAGTGATCCTTGAAATGTGAATAGACTTGGGGCGCCTGGGTGGCTCAGTCAGTTAAGCATCCGACTTCGGCTCAGGTCATGATCTCGCGGTATGGGAGTTCAAGCCCCGGGTTGGGCTCTGTGCTGACAGCTCAGAGCCTGGAGCCTGCTTCGGATTCTGTGTCTCCCTCTCTCTCTGCCTCTCCCCTGCTCATGCTCTGTCTCTCTATGTTTCTCAATAATAAATAAATGTTTTAAAAAATTTAAGAAATGTGAATAGACTCACACTCCTTGGAGGCGAGGAGACATGGACTGAGGACCCTGCAGCGTGTCTAAAGCCCACGCGTGCATCTGGTCCTCTAGGCCAGTGACTAGTAGGTTGCCAGGAGGCGTGGGTGTGAAAATGACTATCCAGACATCTGGTGGCCCCAAAGGGTTCAGGCCCTCTAAGCCGATGTTTATGCAGGAATGCGCTGAAACTGAGCTGAATCCCTTTCTGGGCTGGGAGCCATGAATCCTGGAGGCTTTCTTCCTCCTCCTCCCCCTCTCTCCCCCCCACCTACCCGGCACCACATTCTCTCTGCCTCACCTTCTGAATATTGCTGCCTTCCACCCCCTTCTCTCCACCTCCACGGCTCCCCTCCTGGTCTAAGCCACCAACCTCCTTTGCCTAAATGACGAAACACCCTCCCTACACACTCCCTGGCTTCCCTCCCATCGCTTCCCTGCAGAGCAGCTAGGGCATTCGCTTCCAAATTCAAAGCTGCTCAAGCAGCAGCTTGCATAAAACCCATGCGTGATTTATCCCGGTGTGAAATGCCAAGACCAAGATTTGTAACTCACCCCACGAGGATGAGTGCTCTGCCTCTTCTGGTCTTGCCTCGCGTATCCTACACCTCTCTGCCCCCACTGCCACCCCCGACTCCTCTCCACTCCCACAACACCCGGGTCTCTGGCTCTCTCTAAGTTCAAACGCACCACGTTCTTTCCCATTGAAGGGCCCTTACACAGCGGTTCCTTCTGACTTTCATGCTGAATGCCCACACACTCGTTAGAACTCAGCTGGAGTGCCACCTTCTCCGGGAAGCCTTCCTCATCCCCCCTAGACTGGGTTAAATCCCTCAGGGTGGCGGGTAGTATTTTCCGAAAATGGTCGTGGCAATATTTCCTGTCCCCTGTGCTATTCCAGAACCTAGCCACTGCCCAGGAGTCTTTCTGCCCTTCTTTTGAATTTGGGAGGGACTTTGCAAAGGCTACAATGGAAATGTGTGACTTCTGAGGCTGGATCAGAAAAGGTGATCCGGCTTCTGCCTGCTTGCTCGCTTTTCTCGGGACAATCGTTCTTAGAACCCAGCTGCTGCAATGCTCAGGGAACACATAGACGCTGCAGGTAGGCGCACCTGGCAGCAGCCATGGCAAGGGTCTCCACCGACAGCCAGCAGCAACTGGCAGAATCAGAAGATTCCAGCC